AATAAAACTTTTTATAGGAAAAAAAAAAAACAAAAAACGTGCGTATAATTTAACGAGAGATTTTCGCTACTTTGTAAGTTATGATTATGGACTTTTTAAAATGTCCTATAATGCAAGAAAAGACAATTGTAGAAATACTTTGAAACTCAGTCAGTGCAAACGCAAATTAATGGCTCAAAATTCCATACCAACGAAGAAAGAAGGGTTTATAGATGCATGTACACACAATATGACCAATGAAGAAAACTGAAATTAACTACAACAATAATCATCAAACAGGCACTGTGTTTAAAAATTTGCATTAAACCAGAAAGCAGCATTACCAACCCAAAAAAAAAAAAAAGGAAAGAAAGCAGTAATGTACCAGAAAGAATGTACACTTTGGTGGATGTGGATCAATGACAGGGGGTGCTTGTGTGCGTGTTCTTTTTGTCCAGGTAATTAGACTAGTCCAAAATTTTTAATTAGTACTTCTGGTCCATAAAATAATCGATATTGAGTTTTCAATTAATCTCAAAACTCGATGTTTTTTTTTTTTTTTTGGTATAGAGTGAGTACAAAACATTTGGTAAGAAAATTAATTTTGGTATGTGGTTTTTGGTCCAAAACTAATTTTAGTTTGTAACAAATAATTTAACAATTATTTAATCTCGGAGTAGTACATAATTTCTAACTATTCTGGTCAAAAAAGTTAATCTTATGTTCAAGTTCCACAGGTTTCATTCATACGATCGAATGTGACAAAAGTTCCACTAGTCGAAAATTAATATTTGAATTTCTTACTGTATTTCATTAACTCTGAAATAAATTAATGTAAAATAATCAAAGAAAAAAAATATATTCAAAAACATAAAAATTCCAAAAATATATATTTTCAATTTTTTTTTTGCTCCGCCAAAATTTCACTTTTTTTTTTTCCTTTTTAACATACTAAGAAAGCGTTAAGCTGAGATTACAAAATAACTCCGAGAAAAGGAGTCGAGATGTCAAAGGATAGACTATCTAGTATAGTGGGAAGAGGGTTGCCAAAATATGTACACCTTCTTGTTTTACCCCTCGCCACATTGCACTAACATTTTTCCTTTCAATAGTAAAAATTCAAAAGACCTTCAAAAAAGCAATGCTCTTATTGAAGAATTGAAAACGCTTGATCCATGATGTTCTCCGGATGTCATACCCTGAAACATTATTTTGTAATATAGGCCATTGTGCCTCCTTCTATGTACTACCAAAAAAAAAGGAAAAGGTTGTCATGATCATAGGCTAATTTAGAATTATTTGAATTTAGAGGGGTTGAATTATAATTTTGGTTTCTTAGTCCTGTTGAGTGTTGAGTTTTTTCTTTAAATATATTTGCACATTAAGGACCTGGATAAAAAAAAGCTTACCAGAAATTATGTGGACAAAACTATATGACACGGATTTCAGAAATCCGAATCAAGTTAACAGTCAGATTACTGAAATCCGAATCCTCGTAAATTCGGGTTACTGAAATCCGGATTTGTGTAATGTTAATCAGATATTAAGTTAATGAAAGGATTTAGTGTAATTAATAAAAATACGGACTTCCCGAATCCGAATTCACTAATAAAATATTAATTTCCGATGGGATGAAAAAATGATAAGTGTTGGAAAATACTTTTTTGTCTAAACTCGGATTACGGGAATCCGAATAAGGGTTCGAACAGATTCTATAAATTCAGATCTCCTCTTTGGTTAAAGACGGATGAAGGAAATCCGAAGTTGTATAAATTCGGATTTAAGTGATCCGGATCTCGTCTGTTTCTCTGAGAAACTGAAACTCCCAGATAGGTATTGAGTCAGATTTGCAAAATCCGAGTCCTTTATAAAATGCAGGACTTCGGATTTACGAAATCCGGATCTTTGTCAGAACTGAAAAAAAAAATTGGACTAGTTTTAACCAATCCAAAACCTGTTTACAGTACCAACAACAATGAAACATAGAATAACAGAAATCTAATGGCAACAAAACAATAAACTTCATTCGATTAACAATGAAACATAACAAGTTTCAATCCAAAATCAATTCTTAAACTACTTTCAATGTAAAAGAAAAAAAAAGAAACATCAATGGGCTCAATTTTTCTCTTTTTCTTTCCTAGGCGCACTCGGAGTGTATTTATTTGGCGCCTGGCGGTTCCTGTCTTCCCTCCGAAGATACGTGAGTATTGAACCATGTTGTTAACCCGGTTGGGGTTGGGATTTAGACTCTCCCATGGTGAGAAATAGGACTCCCGACTGTGGTTGCGAGTCTCCACCAATGTCTTCAAATTGAGGCTCAGGTTCACCGATGTCTTCAAATTGAGTATCGACCTGGATGTGCGAGCCTCTAAAAGAAGCTGCCTCGCACTCTCGTTGTTGATTACCTGAACCGTCACCCTTATTTTGTTCTTGCGATAACCGAGGGGGGATCATTATTTTTCGCTTTCTACCTCCTCCAATCTTCTCTCTCAGCCACGGTTTCGCTTTTTTACCTGGTGCAGGTTGTGAGGGCAGAGATGGTTCGTCATCAACTAAGATTTGCGTATCGTCCATGTCAATCTCATCATTTGGGCCCAAGGTTAAAGCAGCATGTGTTTCATCAATGATTTCATTCAAATGCTCCTCGAGTTTATTGTCTAGGAGATTCTTCTTATCTCTATCATCTCTAAACTGCTCGGAACTCACGCGAATGTCGTTCAATACTTTACCCTGATAAGAAATTGGAACGTTAATTAAAAGAGTAAAATACAAAAATCATAAAAAGATAAAAAAAAATAAAAGAAAAATATAAGAAATAAAAAACTAAAAATATAGAATGAACTCATATATAATTATACTCGGCTCAAAGAAGTCTCATTTCCTTTAGCTTCATAATTTTTGGGATTGGATATAAGTTTGACTGTATTCATCATGAACCATTCATAGTACCCCTCATATGTTTGGCCAGGGAATCCAACCTCCAAATCTTTTGGAACGTACTTTTCTCTCTTTCTCCAGTGAGGACGTACTGCGGAACAGTGATCCACCCAATTGTTGCTAGGTAGGCCAAACATATTTTGGGCGTGATCAAGAAGAAATGATGCGCGATCTTTAATCATAGGGTCACGGGTATGTATCCAAATTGTCTCACAACCCTGAGCGACTCGTGGGGTTCCCTAACAGCCCAACAGAACATCCAACATCTAGTCGTCTAAATGGCTTGGCCTTGTTTACAGAAATTAGAGAGTTTAGGAAGTACACTTGCATATGGTTGCTACAGAAACTGCACGACATGAATTTATTTAAATGGTATAACCGGAAGAAAAAAATTCAAAGTAAATAAAAATACCAAATCAGGTACTTACATCTCCAAGATGTAGGCTTGTTAATTGATCTCTAAAAGATGCCAAAATGCTCCTTGGGATGTCCTCGTAGCTGTACGAACATTCCCAGATTAATGAATAAACACAAAGGGGTTACATTTTAATTAGTAAAAAAATTGAAAGGAACAAATAGAAATAAACATTGAGTTATTTTGAAATAAAAATACGCACCGCTGAGCTAATGGAGCAGTCTCATCCAGCATATAATCTAGTGCTACTCTATATGGCGCGATTCTCTCGATCCGCTCATACGCCCATACCTAATAAAGTTTAATAATAATGTTAACACTTCAAATTTTAATGTCGAAAACAAAAAAAAATTATAACACCTAATGAAAACTAATACATACATGTAGCAAATATACACAACCACTGATGTCGTGCATGGTGTACTGGGTTGCCTCGCACAGACCAGAGTACAAACAAGCCAGCAGGGCCGATCCCCAACTGTGTCGACTACACTGCTCCATATCCTCGACCTTAGCCAACAACAGCAGATTGACAGTGTTTTGAGTCTTGGTAGAAAACATGAAACTGTTCATAAAATGCAGGATTATTGTCCGGGCCCTTTGCTTGAGTCGCTCGACTGGGGAATCCTTAGGGAGTGCACGTTTCATCTCATCCTCGAAAACACCAATCTTCGCAAATTGGACATTTACTGCGGCTGGCCCGAATCCCAAATAAGTCTCACATCTCGCCCGCCATTCCTCTGCACTCTGGCTAACTGTCGTCCCGTACACCGGCTCACCATCCACCCGAATACCAATGAGGACCGCGACATCCTGTAGTGTCACAGTCGCCTCTCCGAAATTGAAATGGAAAGTGTGGGATCCTGGCCTCCACCGTTCCACCAACGCGTTAATGAGACCGAAATCCACTCTTTTGTAGCCTACTTTCATTATCCACTCAAAACCGACTCTCTTAATAATTTCCTTAACCTCCGGTGCCGTATGATCATTGTATAGCTCCCAAAATGAGCTATCATATCCACGGCCCTTGAGGCGGAATGTTTTAATGTTGTGGATCTTGTTTTCAAAGACATCTTGGGACCTATGTTTTTTTTGAAAGTAGATTACTTTTTCTTGTACCAACCCCGATTGAAGATGTTTAGGGTTATATTGCAAGCTAGATGAGCTAGCCATTGCAATTCTACATTCGGCAACCAAAGAAATATTTCCACATCAATACTATGCAAAAATACTATAATTCACAATTCACATATAAATACACAATCCACAATTCTAATTATAAACCATAAACCTAAACAATACTACAATTCTGTGCAGACTATATATACACATTCGGATTACACAAATCCTCATTCCAGGAAAAAACAAAAAAAATTCCGATAAAACACTTAAGAACAAACCCCAAAAAACAATTATACTACCTTCAGATATGATAAATCCTCTACTATAAGTTTGGATTCATGAATTCATTCACAGCAACAACAACTAAGAACAACCCCAAAAAACAATAATACTACATTCGAATTTCACAATTCTACCAATAAAAAACATCAATGAAAATGAAAAAGAGGAATAAAAAAACTTACCAGACGCCGGCAGTGACACAAAGCTCAGAGCGGCAATGGGACGGTGACAGCAATGGGACAGAGAGGAGGGCGGCAATGGGATGGTGACAGTGAGTCTTTCGCCGGCAGTGAGAGGAGGGGCGGCAGTGGTGACACAGTCTCCGGAGCGAGGGGAGTCGATTGCTGGAGCTGCTGACGGACAGGGAGGAGTCGCTGGACGGAGGGGAGCTCAATGTGGGTGGTGGATTGAGTCGCCGGGCGGAGACTGGCGGTGGAACGACGAAGGTTGTTGCCGGGCTTGAGTGAACTTCGACGGGGAGCCAGATGGAGGAATTTGGTCACCGGACTGAGGAACTTGAGTCGCCGGACGGAGGGTTTGTCGATTTGGGTCCTAGACTGAGTCGCCAGACGGGAAGAGCTGTGGATGGGTGAAGTTGGTCGCCGGACGGGAGTTAATTAGGGTTTTTCAGTTTGGGGACGAGAGAAAATCAATTGGGGAAGAATTGACCGGCCTATTATAGTCTCCGTCACACTCGGATTTGCGCAATCCGGATATATGGATACAGAACACAGAAATCAGAATCTCCCCTGCTTCTCTCAAAACTGCACACTCCCAGATGGAATTTCTGACATCGAAATTCCGAAATCCGGATGTAGTACAAATCGGGATAACTCGGATTTATGAAATCCGAATAATTTGGTGCAGGAAATCGAGCTCAATTCGGATTTCAGAAATCCAAGACCAGTACAAAATGCCTACATTCGGATTGCAGAAATCCGAGCCCTGTACAAAAACACAAAATGTCCAATTTCTTTTTTGCACAATCCCAAAATCTGTTATCAACAACTCGTATCTATTTTTATTACAATCACAGCACTAACAATTCAATATTAACATTACAATCCGAACAATTCAATGTTAACATTACAATCCAAATTTATCAATACTAAAAGTTGTAGGACATCCAAATAAACAGTTGTGATTCCAAATAACATGATCATTCCAAATAACAAAAACACTAAATGTCTTTCAATTTCAGCTGTCAATCACAGATCTTCTATCTACTCTTGGGTGCGAGTAAGGACAAGAATTGGTATCGTGACCTTGTTATCCGCATCTCCAACATTCCCCCCGGCTCCGACGTCCCCTATTATCCATTTGCATTCGATGTCTCCTTTTTTGTTTTCGTCCCGGTCCTGTATTCAAAACAAGACGCTCATAATTCAGAATGATATTCCAATTGACCGTCGGCCATTGTTGCTCATCCGGAACTGGAATAAAACCCGTGTAATCAAATTGTCTGCGCCATGCTGGAAGGCGCCACACACTATGGTATAGATCAATAGGTCGATCCTCTTTCTTCCCGCAAACAGCGAGTGCGTACGTACAAGACATCCGGTATTCATTGTAGTTCACCGTATGTAAAGATCCACCCCTGCCACTTAGTCGTGTGGCAGTAACAACCCGCCACCTAGCATCATCACTATCAAAAGGGGAGGCATCAAAACTGGCTGCTTTGTCGTTCATTTTCTTGTATTTTTTTCATAACTCAGGAAGGATCGGTGTCATGCAATTTCTCGTACACAATTGTTCGTCTCTCTAGAATTTCACAGTTTTGCGAAAGGTTGCATCGATCAAGGCTCTAATTGGTAAAAAGTGGATCCCTTTCAACGCATTGTTGTAACTCTCAGAAATGTTGGTTGTCGCTATGCCCCAACAGCGACGACCGGCTTTCAATCGAGCCCAGTTACTCCCTCGAATCCCTCGAAGAACTCACATGCAGCAGGTTTGAATTCAATAAGCTCTGCCCTCATATGGTTGTATTTCACTCTTGAAAGCGTCGTGCCCATCTTCCAACATAACCACTTCACCTTTCTGCTATTATGTCGCGACACAAGATTGCTGCGAACGTGGCGGAGGCAATAAAAGTGGCCACCATCTCTTAAATCACGCCATTCATCCATCTGTGACATTGCGCTCAACAACCCTGCATTCCGGTCGGATATCACACTTACGATTCTATCCTGCACAAACCCACAACCTAAAATTACTCATAAAAAATGTCCAACTCTCTACTGTCTCCTCATCCACAATCGCAAATGCAACCGGTAAAATGTACTTGTTTGCGGTATAGATCACTGCAACAAACAATTTAGCCTTATATCCACCATGCAAGTGTGTTCCATCGATACAAATGACCGGTGGACATTGAAGAAACGTTGCAGCCACTAGTGCAAATGAACAGAAGACGCATTTAATTGTCCTATTTCCCCTGTTCCAACCTTCTTCTCCCTCCTTCCATTCTCACTGTAGTACAGTCTCAGGATTAGTAAATTTAAGCGCAGCGATATACCTACACAATAAACAAGACATAGTTAAAATATTTGAATACATGTAACCCAAAAATAAAATAAAATAATAAACATAACAATTATAAAAGTTGATATTTACCTAGAAAGTTTTTCGAAAATTCGAGGTTCAATCACCATAGACCGCTTCTATGGTTTTCCTCCTCCCGTGCCACGCCTTTTTATATGGCACATCTACTTTCAATAAGGTTTTCACATCTTTCTGTGTCAAGGTCATTGTATAATCTACGTTGTCCTCAACCTTTTTCCTGATGAGTCTAGCATCTGTTTGAAACTGATAATAAATATCTGCTTGACATTGTTGGCTTTACTGGTGAAACTGCTGGATATTGTGTGGTTACTAGAACCTTTGAAGATGATCGGCCAATCGCCATTAAGGGAGGTCATTTTCTTGGTATTTATGGAAAAAGCAATGCTGTGAAAACTCTCAATGAAGTGGGGAATCCTTTGGCTGATTGTTTCTCGACAGCAATGAAATATGAACTCTTGGAAGCTAAATCAATTGAAAGTAGTTTGTGCAATCTAGAATGCAAAAACAGTATATTAGCAGAAGAAGTTGTCTCTTCAGAGCTTAAAATGAATTTGTTTGTGCCTAAAATTGATGTGAAGTGTGTTGTAGTTATGTATAAAACTGGTTCTGTTAAGTCCATTGATAGTGGGATTGGATTTGTTAAAATGATACTTAAAAAGACTGGTGAAGTGCATAAATTATGGTGCGAAGTAGTTACTTGTTTCAGCGGAAGTACTAGTATTCAGGGAGCTCATACATTACATGAAAAAGCTATTTCTTCTAAATGTTTTATACCAACAGGACAGCCTTACATTCTTTTGGTAATTCATGATGATGGTAAGAATTTGAGCAGCTGGCATCCTTTAAGTATAGTGAAGTGGGTTGAGCTTATTAAGATGTTTGACACTCCGGGAGTGATTGTCAAGTTAAAGGGTTGTGAACTATGGACTGCTTCTAATGAATTCAAACCTGGAGTTAACTTAGTAACTCTGTTTATAGATGACACAGGAGTATCTGGTTCTCATTTAGTTGAATGGGATAGAACCAGTGATTTTGTTAGTGTACGAATTATACCAACTGCTATGTGATTGAAAGGCTGTAAGGAACCTGAGTTTATTAAGGTTAGAGCCCCTCAGTTGACACAAATTCCTACACTTGAGATGACAGCTTCAACAAGTTTCACTGGGAATCTAAATGTTTATAGGGTTGGTTTCACTGGCAGCGGTATTAATCTTGGGTTCTTTGAAAATTTTCTCTTCTCCATCAAGAGTTCTGTTTTACTTTCAGATTGCTGCGGATTTAACTGTATGAGCAAAAGACATGTCTCTTGGCCTGAAATGGCTTCTAGTTTTAAGGGAGGCACTATCTTAGGAGAAGCTGCATTGATATATATTTCTACATATCGAATCCCTCCGCTAGTAGAATTTATTGAAGCTACTACTTCTATGAGCTCTAATAGGTTGGGTATTAATGTTATGATCATAATTGATCTATTGGGAAGAATGAAACAGTTGTTATATTGGGAAGGAGTAAAGGCATACTTAAGCAGTGTTATGTGGAGCTGGAGCTCAAACCAAGGTGCCTATCTTTTTAATTGGGAATCAAAGCTTGCTATGTTTGCTATTTTGGGCACAAACTGGTGTTTAGCGCTATGTCGCCGGACATACTATGCAGTTTTATATTCAATGGAAAATGAGGATGGTCTCGGTGAAACTCATGATTTTGTTATTGTTGGAACAAGTGGTGTATGTCTATTTCGATCATTCAGCTCCTACTGGGGAAAAATCATGCTTAAAGATGGGCAGCACTAAGAAGAGAGAGACCATTTCTCTGCTGAAAATTGGATTTTGTTCCCAAAGGAATGTGATATTATCTTTTGGCATAAGAACTTATTCTTTCATCAGATTGTTATTCTGCCAAATGCATTTCTTATCTTTGTGGAGGCAGGGTTCAACTGGAGTGAAAACCTTCGGGATCTTGAAAAATCTCGGCTAATGATGGGAAAAATTCCCATTCAAAGCAAGACAACTCTGCAAGCTCAGACCGAGAAGAAAAGTGAAGATTCATGTCACATTTATCTTTTGGTGTTTGAAGGCTCGGTTATACATAAAGATGTGGAAAATTTATATTTCACAGTTGGGAATTCATTCTTCATCAAGCCAACTTTTAGTCAAGACATGAAAGCTCAAAAAGTGTGGGACAAAATTGTGATTCAAGGGAAGCGGAAGCTATGATGTGACAGACATAAACCAGCTTCAGGCTGCTCTTCAAGGAATCTCTACGAACAATTGTTGCTTAAGCTTCAAAGAGCAGCTAATTGTGGATTTATATTCTCTCCTCAGCATTTCTTTTCTTTTCATGGAATTTACAAGACTTATTTTACGGGTAGGGTTTGTCATGATCATAGGTTAATTTAGAATTATTTGAATTTAGAGGGATTGAATTATAATTTCGGTTTCTTAGTCCTGTTGACTCTGTTTATAAGCGATTTTGTACTGTTGATGGAAAGCATCGATGAAATGAATGAAATTATCCCCTTTGCTTCTCTGTCTTCTTCTTCTACTAATAAACCCTAAATTTCTTTTCACAAATCTCCTTTTTCTGCCTTTCTCTTCTAATCCCTCTAAAATCTGAACTCTGAAATCTAATTTCTGGATTCTAAATGCCATATAGTGACAAAGGCTTGATCCAAAAAGCCCATGAATGGCTAAAGAGGGAAACAGTAACGGATCCAACGGTTGATCCCAGTGGTTTTTTACAGTTTTACTATTGTGAGCGAAAAGGATTTTGTGTAGAGTATCATCACGGGTTAAGTACTTTGGCAAGTTTGCACTGTTTGACTTCCAAATAGTTCCAAAGTGATGTATACCGTCTAAATTTGTTTTGAACGATTTCCTAACTCATCAATGTAATTCTCTATTCAGAAAGATAAAAATCACATCAATAAAACTGCTATATATATATATATATATATATATATATATATATATATATAATCGATTATAGATTTTGGTGCTCCTGAAGGTAAAGTATTCCTATACAAATTTCAAAGCTCTAAAAATACAGAACTATGAACATAGAAACTAGCCCTAAAAACTACATGGTTGTAAGAGAAATACAGACAGCTACATTTGAGTACAGTTACCTCAGGAGAGAACATTAAAGGCTTGAGCTCCACGAGCAACCTTAATGAAGACATCTTCTAAGGTTGTATCAGCCACACCCCATGCGTGGACTGTGAATCTGCTCTTAGCTTTCTCAACTGCTTGGAAAACATCAGCAATCTTCACCTCATTCTTTGGCAACTCAAATTTTTGAGTTCCAGAGATTTGGTACGTCTTGATTGCACTCGGGGAGAGTTGTCGCACTAAGTTCTCCACTTCTGCTTCATGATCCATTGATGTTGTCATTGTAAAGACATAGGAACCTCCATATCTAGCTCTCAACTGTCATCAACATCAAATATTACAGATTAGGTGATATTGGGAGGGATTTACTTCATTCCCAGTTGGACATCTATCCTTCTTCCAAACTGTTGACAATCTATGATTATCTTCAGATATCAATAAATTTGAAAAGAATATTCAAACAACTAGATGTCCTTAATAATATGAGGGATGTTTTCCATACAAGGATGTTCATTCCCTTAGATTTAACTGAAGCTTCATTCATCTAACAAACTCAAGTACAACCTTTCACTAACTAATGGAAGTTTGAAGTCGACATACCTCCTTTGGGTTGCCAATACACTGCAAACTCCCATCTACAAAGATTCCCAATCTGTCACATAAATGCTCCGCCTCTTCCATTGAATGAGCTGCAAAATAATTGATCAGACGATCAATTAATACAGCTCCAAAAAAATACGGTACTAATTTAAAAGAATAGGTGAAGAAGAGAATATTCCGAAAAGAAAATCTAGGGAAATGAATTTATGCCATAAATGCTGGAGGTCGGGGAACTAAGAATGGTGTGCATGCTATTGTCTCAGGATATCTGCTAGCACTGGTAAATTAGTACAGGCTAAATGGGTGAGGCCACTTTTTGTTATCCTCATTCAAAAGCCATAGTACATTAATTTGCATATGCCTATACATGAGTACACGAACCTATATAGTCGTACAAAACCCGACATGCACATCTGGTTAGCTATGATCAAAGGCTCTTATTCTAGCAGCGGATGAATTTTCTTTTTACGAACTATTCATGCTTAATATGTTCCACATTTCTTTATAACACCAGAGATGTAAGCAAGAAAAAGATGCACACAAATTGGACCTTCCTACTCTTAGTTTGAGATGCAGAGTCATAAACTAGATTTAGTCACTTCTCTTTCAGAGAGTGAATGAATTAATTAATATATGAGTAAGCATGCCTACAAAACAGTGTGCCCCTGAGGCACATAGGAAGAAAAAAGTTACTTGTAAGAATAATTGCTGTGTGTTGCTTGGCGCGCTTCACAACATTCCACAAACTACTTCTTGAGGCTGGATCTAGTCCTGTACTAGGCTCGTCCATGTAAACAACCTAACCAATGAACATAATAAGCTTTGGAAAATGATGTCAATAATTGAGAATAAGCACATATCCAGATTAAGAAAAAGGCCAACTTGGGGATTTCCGATCAGTGAGATAGCAACACTAAGCCTTCGTTTCATGCCTCCACTGTATTTCCCTGCTTGCTTGTCGGCAACACCTCCATGAAAGAGGTTTACACTCTTAAGAGAATCTTCCACTGCCTGCAATGATCAGTAGTCCAAAGAAGTCAAATTCAAAATCGATATATTATTATTGTACTCCATTTACCTTTGAGTAATAAGCTGGGACATTTGTTTTTTATGCAACAAAAAGCAAACCATTGAAGTAAACATATAATATTTTAAAATGAAAAATTTCCTTACCTGGGTCAGTGCAGCGCCTTTGAGGTTCTTAAGTCGTCCATAAAAGAGTAGGTGTTCCCTTCCCGTCAGTGTTTCCCACAGCAGGCTGAAAATGTTTAGAAATTAATGAAACATCTACATTGTCTACTCAAGAGGAAAGAAAGTAAAGCATTTGCAGAAGCATTAGCCAGGGATAGACATACTCGTGCTGTGGGCAAACACCCATGCTAGTGTATATGCTACTCATCTGATTTCGGATGTCAAGCCCTCCAACATAAGCGGTACCCGAGCTTGGTTTTATAAGCCCAGTCATCTGTTCACAAAATTATAAACAAAGAGGTATCAAGTTCTTTTCCAAGAAGAAATGATTTTCTACAGGACATCTCATTAGCAGTTCTTTGGATGAGGGTAATGGGACCTATTTGACTTAAGCAAGAAAAAGAATTAGAATTAAGTGGTCAATCACAAGGCGGGATTATTCTTAGGCTAATTGTATAGAAAAGAGCATGAGAAATTGAAACGCACCATATTTATAAAGGAAGTTTTACCAGCGCCATTGGGACCAAGCATACCAAAGCACTCCCCACGAGGTAGAGCAAGTGAAAGTCCTCTCACAGCAAATTTTTCTGGGTTTCCATCCCTTCCAGGATATACCTTTTTCAGATTGTCACAGATAATAGCTTGATGATTGCTTGACTCAAGTAATAATTGTTCGACCTTTTCCCTCTATATAGAAAGACACAACAATTAGTTTACACATGTTTGAAGACTTAAATGAAGCAATTATCTTAAGCAGCCAGCTTATGGGGAGAAATGTAAGGTACTAGCAGGTATTGCAAAGGACACACAGGTTCATCCACATCTCCAAGTTACTGAAAGCTGTCAAGCATGTAGAGGAAATGTTTTCAACTGAAATACAAGGTTCTTACTCCTAACTATTACCCGAAAAGCTAGTTTTAGTTCTTGCCTGAAATCAAAATCACACTCGGGGTAAGTTCTAGATGAATACAATGGGTATTTTCACCAGACCACATGGTTAGCAGGATTATGTAGTCAATAAATCATCTGATAATTTTGAAGTATTATGAAAATCTAATTCACTACTCTAACTCAAGAAAAAGAGGCATAATTCATTAGAAAACTGAAAATGGACGAAAAGAGAAACAATTTTACCTCTTGGAGCACATCAGATCTCTCCATCTGAACAAAAACTTTAGAACCCTGCCTCTCCAAACTTGGCTTTCTGAATGATGAATGGGTCTTCTTTCGGATGAAAAAGATGGGACTTCTTCCAGTAGATACAACTTGGTCAGAGTAAAAAGCCACAAAAAGAACTACCAACCATTCAATAGACATGATAATTAGGACCTCTTTCATTCCATTATTTCCATCACTCAGATCTTTCCATCGCATTCCTACAGTTCCCATGTAAGTACCCGCGAAAGCATATTGTGCAAATTCATACAAGCCACGGTAAAGGGAAAATCCAGGAAATAACTCCATTACAATGATCCAGACTCCTGTAAAGTTGTAAGATAATCATAAAACTATTGCCCAAAAATGAAATACATTTAATTTGGAAAACACACATAATCAATAATAGGTAGAGAATCAAGTCAATGATGAATAGTATAACATAGTCACCTCCTCACAGTGTCCATAAAATGCACATAAAGTGACAGATGAGATCTGAAGCAGATATATTCATGTGATTGCTTATGCTTAGTGTCAGGTATTATTCCCTGAAAACAAGATCCTTCTAGAGTTGCATGTGCTAAATCCTTAGAATAACGTTATTTTCTCCGCAATAAGAAATCTCAGTTGTTCTCCTTCTATAAATCTTAGATATTTTATTTTTCCCCCGTATTACTCCTCACTTCCATTTCTTCCAGTGGAGATTTCATGACACTGGAAAATTACTAAAAGAAAGGCTATGTTCGCACTAGTTTAAAACAATAGAATTTCAATTAACTTCATATAAATTCATAAACGAAATGAAGAGAAGCATAAACTACTGATCAAACAGACTAGATCTAGAAAGCCATTAGGTTGAGCAGTGAAAGATGATAAATAAGTTGCTTTCAAAGTCCTGCCACCCCACTGCAAGTGGGTACCTCAAGACTTATATAGAAGAAAAGCTACAGAAACTTGACGAAGTTTACTCACTTGGAAATGAAGAATCTTGAAGAAAGAACTGGAAAAGAAATCCACCCAAGAGACCGGTTCCAAAGACTATTACATAGCCTACAACTGTTAAATTACAAATAAAACAAGATTGATTATCATGATGACTTTTGCAAGTTCAGAAAGAATAATATTTACTAACCAGAAGCAAACCTGTTGCAGTTTTCACATTTGAGAACGAAGCAGCCACGAGAAAAGCCGCTGAAATTTGCAAGTTTATGTAGATAAAGTAAAATGCGGCTTGGATACTGTAGTCGTTCAGTTTGAAAAAATTTAATCCTGCAAGCAAAATTTTATGGCACGTTAATATGATTGACTGGGTGTTACCAATCAAAGCAAAAGACAACTGGCAATTCCTGAGGTTTTACCTATTAACGACCCAAAGGTGACAAAAACTACCATGTACACAGTTGACAATAAAAGAAAATAAGAATATGAAATCATCCAGTAGGGCCCATCTCCGAGGCCATGCATTTTCATCATTATTCTAAGCCTCTTTTGTTTCTCATAAACCAGAGATGTGAGCACAACCTGCACAGAGACTAAAAATAATGAAGAAGTGAACAGATTATTTATAGTTCTCGGACATAACTGATTATTTGGAATTGGAATTTACCTTCGCACTTAAATCTACTTATTTATGCATTTACTCACGAATGAAACACGATTGTTGGAAAAATAATGCAATTCATGTTAAGAGAAATCATTACTCAAGATTTCAAAGGAAGTAAGCCATGCAACGTTGTTTCAATCAGTTACCCATCAGCAAGCTAAGAAACATACTGGTCCAGGTTGAAAAAGATGCAATATTACCCTAATCAACCTCATTGTAAACCTCTTTTAGATGCGAAAAAATTACTTCAATTTTTATAATCCCCATATTACTTCAGGATTGAACAAACACAAAGAAAAACACACAAAACACATTCACACGTATGCATGCTATCTGTGTATACATAGATAATATCCATGTCCATCAATCACTTGCTGATATCACTGAACATATAGAGAGGTTAATTTACAGGTAGATGTTATCATAGAATGAAAGATATTTCATTCGAACAAATGCAACCTATTTTATGCACACTGTACTTATTTTTAGCTATGTTTCTCTGATAAAAAACGAATGAATGATTGGCATAATTCAAATGTAACAAATTCATCTAATATGGTACATGATTATCGCACTTACTGGGAATAGTTGTAAGATAACCCACGTAAAGAATAGTGGTCCAAGCAGGGAAGAAAAATCCAGCCTGATGCGTGTCTCTGGCTTTGGCATTTCCTTCACAAATTCAAACAATATTTTGCTTCCAGGCCCAAGCAAAAACTGAAGGTAAGCATTTGATGCCTGCAATAGAAATCTTAGCCTCATTTACGATCACCTTTCTTCCCCAAACACAGAAGACTCTGATAGAGTTCCCAAACTCCCGGAAACTGGTTCTGTAAAGTTATTGTTTATGAAGTTCCAGCTTTGACACCAGAATGCAAAGTTTTAGCTGCTTTGATCTAGAGAGATCCTTAATGTGTCTACCCCCTTTTCATAGCTGATGAGATTAAGTTTCATTAAAGGTTTTATTATATATCTAGAGCTTCTTTTGCTACACATCTGTTCTTACAGAATCTAAATTATATGAACCTTTCTCTGATAACCACCACCCTGGTGTGCAGAGTACATTTTACATCATGTTTTGTAAGTTTCATAGCCTTTATTATGTGATCATTACTTCATGTATTTCCTGTAGAATGGATGCTCTTGTAAGTTATCCTAATACTATAGCAGAAAATTCCATTGTGTTTAACTTGTATTACAGTCTTAGAAAAGGTTAAAATTTTGACTTTTTCTTAATGGAGCAGCAACCCATGTTGATGACACTTTTCAATGAGATGAGATAAAATGTATGATACTTGTCTAATTTTACTATACGATGGAACCAAAAACCCATCCCAGATAAAGCAGAAAACAAACAGCTCCAACATTGTAAGTTCTAACATTAAAGTAAATACTACCACAAAAGCAGACATTGAATTGTATTCCTTGGGAGAGACAACAATTTGAAAACAGAAATTGGCAAAACATAAGTACTAACAAAATACATTTTCTTTATGTTGTGGATAACACGTATCCGACAGTTCACACCTCTTGAGTCAAACTATAAGAGTTCTGTTCAACACCATAATGTGCCAAACAATGGTATTAAAAGGTGACTCTTCGTATTAATAATTTATATGAGTGATAAGCTGGATTGATATCATTTCTTTTGCTAAGACTTCAGAATCTGATTCTTATATCACAATCTACAGAAGCCAAATGCTAAAAAGAAAACTCGTTCGAGTTACTCCAAATTGCAAGACGTGATTTTCAATTATGTTATTTGGCTTCAAAAGTGAAGTCACCTCCAGGAGATGTGAGGTCATGGTACTAATCAAGCAAGGGATTCAATCAAGAAAGCAAATGAATTATAATGCTTAAAAGAAATCCTATCAAAATCAAGCTCATGTGTAAATGTCTCACAGTTTGAGAAAGGCAAACCATTAAAACTAAGGAAAACGTGACAAACATAACTCCATTTTTTCTCTATCACGATTCCACCTGGTATCAGATCAACATCAATATTATACAAAGGGAGACAAGTACACTCCAAGTTGCACTGCACAAACATCAACATTTCAACTTCCTTCCTCTCGTTCTGTTGTAACTCATCATTCCAGTTATCAGTGAGCGTATGAACGTGAAAAGTAAAGTCATTTAAAAAAAAAATAAAAAATACGTGAAAAGTAAAGAAACGTAAAAATTGAAAGTTTCATGTGTTTCATCATTTTCCTAGTAATAAGCTCTCTACCATTCTGGTGAATGGGAAATGCATATATATTCAAAAGTGCACATAGAACAGGGTAAACAGATTCAGGATTTGTATAATTTTTGGGATTGACAAGTATTTGCACCATTGGATACGTAGAATCTAAAACATCCAGTAAATATTCCACTACTCAGCAAGAGGAAAGATATATTCCACATGATTGTTCTTTCATGAGACATATTCCGAAAGATGAATGCACTTGATATGCAGGTGTAGAGAGAACCAGAGTTTGTCAACAATGTATCTCTTTTTTCTATCATTGTCTTTTCAGTTTTCAAGTATGTAAGTCTTTATACTCAAAGTTCTTAAGTGCATCATTGAAGCAATTATGGTGAAATGACAAGTTCAATGGTCCAAAAAACATATTATTCAAGTCAAAAACTTTTCAAAAGTCAGTACAGTAAAAAATGACCAAATCCATACCAAGTTAACTGATCGAGGCACCCTTGTCGATGAAAACGGAGTGTTGCCAGAGTCATTCTTATATGTAGAGTTATACCATATACTCACATTAAATCTTGTTGTGTCTGTATTTAAGAAATCATAGGCTGTGACACATGGAAGATACCAAAAGTTAAAAGAATGACTAAAAGATGATGCCATCACTAGCGTTGAAGAGAATTCCGACTAGAAAAGCAAACCTGCAACTATCTCATTGATGGCTCCTTGTGAATTTCCCTTCCTATAACCTTTATAAAGTTCATCGTTTATCTCAGAAGAGCTGTTTCGCCACAAATTCAAACCACGTATGCAACTGATTTCTGCATTAATATGGGAGGTCGATTATATGGATCATATGACTTCAAAAGGAAAAAAAAAAAAAAAACCATGTAGGCATGCAACCAAATTGTTACCTTGTTCGAATGATGCAGGACCTATTGGCAAGGAAGCTGAAAATGACGAATTGGAAGCACAATGTTCTTGGAGGTAATATAGAGGTAAATCAGAAGAGAAAGCTGGTTCAATAAAGTTTGATACATCAGGCTTCGACGCTGACCCCTGAAACATTCCGAAAGCAGCACAACCAAGGTTAGTTAGAGATTTAAAGAGAATAAGCAGCACAGAGTAACAATGCGAAGCGTAGCAAAAACATGGGCAACGAGAGAAAACTAACCAAAACATTGTTGGCCATACTGTAAAATATATCAGAGGCATTTAAAGTCAGTGAACTTGGGATCATGCTTGCACTCAGACCTATAAATGAATCACCCAATCCGAGCACCATAAGTTGAGCAGGAGTACATAATAATATATGAATACTGAAAACAAGAAACACATACTTTGCCCAAGAGTAAGATTACTGCCAGTCAAAAGTATTGTCACCGGACAAGAATTAGTCTTCTTGCACGAATCACTGGGCAAATCCTCAAACGGAATAAAATCTGCTTGTACTGCACGATACTGAGGAGCTGGTATTTGTAACAATGGAGGCCACTCCGGGGGGCTGGGAATGGGACAAAATGGTGCTTGATCCATAGACGAATATTCTATTCCGCATTTTTCCTCACATTTTCCATCCCCATCAGTGTCAACACAAGTGCAGCCACATCTGAATGAGGGTTTATCCAATTCTCTATTGACCAATACTTGGATCAGATTAAGCACCAAACACAGCAAAAATGGAAATATGACCAAACGAAGATTTGATCTGATATTGCGTTTCTGCGACAATAAAAAAAGTAAGGCCACAAAAGGAAAACTGACATGCCTATGTTTACAGTGAAACAAAAAATTAGAAAGCATAAAATACAGTATTGAGTAGTTAAGACAGAAAACTAATAGTCGAAACTTGTTGCTGAGAACAACACTTTTAAGCCGGCTGTCGGATATGTAGTTTAGTTCTACTTGTGCTACAAATTTATCACCTCCACATATTAATCACTAACAAAATACTTTAAACTACTCCTTCTAAAGAGGCTATGCAAAACTCAACAATTGGTAAATTTTATGAAGATCCACAACGACGAGGAGTCTTAACATAGGACGGTGATGTCTTCACTCTTAGGATCAGTTTAAAAAACTGGTGAACAAGAATGCTGTTGATTCTTATGTTAATGCTAATTTCACCCAATTCTCATTTAAATCTATGGACTAAAGTACTCGACTACTCAATATGAATGTTATAACCGGAAAGGAACCGTAAGACTCTAGTTTAAAGTTTAAACTAGCTACCAAGAAAAAACACAAAAAAAGGATGACAATTGCTTGAGAAGTTTGGAAGACCTAAATGAACAAAGATCTCATCTCAAACTTCACTTTTTACAACATACAACTTATCAAACTGAAATCAACTTCACCCACAGTTTAGTTAACTAAAAAGTTTGCAAAGTCTTGCCCATACTGAAAAAGGGCTCCGGTAAATCCCAAATCATGTGGCAGAGTTATTAGCATCTACATAAGCTCAAAATAACAGACTTATTGGAATCATTGATCAAGAAATCGAACACTACAAAAAAACAGCAAAAAATTCCACAAATTACAAAGGAACCCAAAATCAATAACCCAATAAACTAGGGGATAAAGTAAACTGGAACCACAAAGAAATCAACAAACCCGAAATCATAAAGATTTCGTTGAAAAATTACCTGAAAGGTCACATTTTTCCTAAGCAAAGCATTGGCCTGAGTGGAGAAACTTGCAGGGCCATTTGAGGAATCCGCCATGGACGATCTTTTCTCTTCTGGGTGTGTGTTTTTGGGTGTTCTGTGTGAGAAATTGCAGGGGACTATTGTAAGCTGGGAGACTATATACAATTTGCGCCAAAAGGGAATTCTTTTTTCCCTCTTCGAATGCCCAGGAAACTGTGTGACTGTGTGTTAAAAGGAAGTTGTGTGCCGTTATATTTGCTGTAGTCAGACAAATATACCCTTATATAGAATGACTATTTTAACCTTCTGGAATTGCTACGCGTTGTGAAGCCCCTCGACGCGTTTGTTTTGTTACCATTAGTTTTTCTTCTCTCTATTGACTAATTTGATTATTCAAATCTTATAAATCTTTCATTATTTTCAACCATTTTAATTTTTGTAAATTCACAGTGGTTTGGGGGTTTGTAAAACTGCAGAGTAATTACCATCAATGATCAATCGCGGAAGGAGCACAAGAGATTTTATTATTATTATTATTATTATTATTATTATTATTATTATTATTATTATTATTATTATTATTAATCCACTTGCAATACATAGAGAAAATTAAGATCGATGGTTATTCGTTCATATAAGTGTCTCGCATCAAGCGATTTTATTCATGAAAGTGTTCTTTTGTTAGACATAGAAATATTACTAGTGTCTTCAAGATTAAATCATAGTACTTTAAGTCTTTAACTATGGTAAAGGTAGATCAAATATTTCGTCCAAAAAAAAAAAAATTATTGTGAGATATGCGAGGTATATATTATTGCCGGTGATCAAGTTTCTTAATTTTGATAAAGGTGTGGATGATTGGAACATTGCATGTTTCTTAAAAACATTTTCGGGCTTTGTAGCTTAGCATACAAATATAAAACCAATCAGTAAATTTGAACCGAATTCTATTCCAAAAACTATTAACTTTACATTGGAAGTATATAGAATTACAGAATGATGGAATTCCCCCAACAAACCACTTTTAATTTTTTTAACTTTTAAGAAACCAATATAAAAGATGTTTAGGCTAATATACATATATACCACAAAGGTGTTGAATTTGGAGGACGTCAATAATTACTGTGTATTTTCCATGCAATTACCTATATTTCTTAGGTCAGTTAGTTACCAAATTGGTTCTCAATGAAAGCAAAACCCAGCGCAAATACGTCCGCTTGAAGAATATATATCTAAAAGTCAACTCTATTTTGGCCTTTGCTATAAACGGCCGGAAATTTCCAATAAAGAAAAACTGAAAAAGTACTAAAATTTTTTATTTTATTTTTTTTCACAACCACGAAATAGGATCGGTAGAGATGACTTCCTTAGATCGATCTATAGTCAACGATTCAGACATTATTATTTATTATACAAATATATTAGTAGAAAAGTAGAATAAGATCAGTTTACTGTAACTAGTATGAATTAATACTCATTTGGTTGAGTTAGAAAATCAAAATCCATGCTTCTTTGCTCTTCTCCAGATTTGGTTATGGGAAATCGTGATGTTGACTTCAAAGGTTCAATGCATGGTTAATGTCTTAATGACCACCGATTTAGTTATTCAAAAGTCAACGTGTATCTGCATGGACAATCCATGGCCGTAACTTTTAGTGCATATACTTTTCCCCGTCATATTTAAAAATTATACTCTCTCCCTAATATAACTATTGTTTAGTTTAAAATTTTATTTCTAGTTTAAATTGTATTAGAAATATAAAATTTCAAACTGGATAATAATTACTATGTAATAGAGGGAGTACTACTTTGTTGGATTAAGACCCTAAACTAAAATTAAAATGTAGAGGGGCACTCCATGTTACAATTTCAAAGTACCTTCCAAGGTACTTCCATGAAGTAACAAATTAACCAAAGTTTGATTTCTGTTTATTATTATTATTATTATTATTATTATTATTATTATTATTATAAATCTATGAGCTTAGCACTTAGCAGGAGGAAGAAATATACGATTAAAATTTATGAAATGAAAGGTTCAAACCTCATTTAACAATTCATGGTTATATATATATTTTTTTGGTAGACAAAAGTCTTCAAGTAAATGGAAAAATAAATTTATTAATTTGGCGTCTTTTAATTATAAACTCTTAGAGCCTAGAGGCAAATATGCACTCAAAAATGTTATTTCCTTAAAAAAACTCTAAAATTTCCATAAATGTCCGAATTTTATTTTTTGACTGAAACCATACGAAGGAAGTGAGGTTGTCATATACTCTATATACTAGCGAAGGGACACGAAGTGCGGTGTGTGTGGTGTGACCCGGGATTTTTTTTGGTGTTGATATGTGAAGTATAGGAATATTGATATATGATGAAGTAAATGAGTATTGTAAGATGGATATATTTTTATTTTATTGTATGGAGTTATAATTTATTTTGATTGATTATATATAGGATAATTAATAGAAAAGGAGACTTTGAATAAAATTTATGATACATGATTACGTTGGATATGAGGAAATATTTAATTCAACTTCAATGACCACAATTCGTTCCAGTAGTAGTGAAAGACTTCACTCTGTATGGAGCACTTTTTTGAATATGTATTTCGATGATATTAGATGGGAGAGAAGTCGTTTTAACAGTTCATCCATGAATCGATACTTTACCCAATCCATAAGCTACCACTATTTACAATCATGAAACAAATGAATTAGTAATAGGTTCAAGAATAAAGCTCTACCAAACAACACTATGTCAAAGCAGCTAACTAAAACAATATGCTCCAAGTTCTATGTATTCCCATATGGACTTAAACTACATGTGAACAATTTTATTCACTTTGCTAGAGGTCGATGTAAGACTGTGAATCACAAATTCATTTGTTTGTGGATCAAATATTGCAGTAATTTCTAGGCTTGGAACAGTAGAGCCGTGACCAAGTTCAGTTCGTGCATAACAGCTAATAATTTGCATCTTGTAGCCCAAAGGCAACCATATCTTCTGTTGTTCATCTGTACCCTGGCCTTTGATAGCAGGAACAAACATAACTGCAAATGACACCAGATAGCATGAGTTACATTAACACAAATTTTAAAGAAAAGTTTTGCTTAAATAAAAGAGACAATTTTAAATAGAAGAGATAGATTAACCTTTTTGTTTAATCTTAGAGTTCGTGCGTTTTCCGTCAAAATCCGATAACTAGTAGCTTTCTCTCTATTTCCTTCATACACACCGAAGGGAAAAATAAAAATTGACAATTGGGAAAAGAATCTACATACATGAAGGAAAAAAGTTTTTTTCAGACTGAATAAGCAACCCGAAGGCCCCAAATTCACACAAGAGAAAAGAACAAGAGGAATCGAAAGTTGGAATTTGGTTTACACACTTCCAGTGAATATCCCCAAGGCAAACACGTATACCCCAATATTCAGACACAGAAGAAATTGGCAACCGAAAGAAGTTGTTATTACAAAGGGGAAGAAGATATAAGAAAGAGAAGAAACGGACCAATATAAGCTAGCCACGTCAGCGCTTACAACCCACAACCTGCTTTTAACCGTACACAAAAAGTGCTTTCGCACTTTATATAATGTAGATATCTAAAATAATTATTCATTTTAAATTTTTACATTTAGCATAATTTATAGGAAAATATAAATCCAAATGCAAGTTAATAATAATCTTTGGAACCAAAAAAATAAAAAAATCTCATGACGAAATTAGTGATAGCACTTTATAAAATATTTTTAAATATTAATATTAATCACTTTTTTAAAAAAAAAAAATTATTTTTTTTTAAGAAAAACATACTTCATTAACGATTACTGGAAAAGGTCTAGCACCATTTGAGTTATATAGTTTGGAGGTTCATTCCAAACAGTTTCAATTACAGAAGCTGATTTGGCGTACTTAGTGAGAGAATGAGCTATTGTGTTATCCGGTCTTGAAATCCAAGATAGATGAGCAACCGAAAGATCTCGACATGTATGCACTATGTCTTCCAAGACTGGGGAGCAAATAGAGCGACCTTCTGTTTCCTCCAAAGCCGCCAAATTGATGAGTGATGAATCACCATGAACTGCAACGTTGGAAAGATCCATAACATCCAAAAATTGACAGTTTAAACCATGCATGAAAATCCCGTCAGGACTTTGAATAACTATACCAGCACCAGCTCAGTGAGTAGTAAGTGAAATTTAACCATCGAAGAAAACACGAACGAGATTTAGAGGAGATAGAAGAAGGAGTTGCATCATTCTCAAGTTCTGGTCAACTTGATGTTGATTGTTGTATATCTCCATGAAAGTTCGAACCAACCGGCTATCTTGAAGCACAACTGACCACAGCAAGGTTATTTTTGTTGCCATCGGACTTTTTTTTATATCACAATTTAAAGACAATGAGGCTAACTCAAACACAAAGAACATCATATCACAGACCTTTATCGAATTCTCAACGCCACATCCGCGTCGTAATTATTTCGATTTAGTGTTTCAACATGACCTTAATTATCCTATGTAACAGAATTACAACATTTACAATGTAAATTAACTAACAAAAACTTGAAAACGCAAGAAATAAAAATCGAAGACGTCTACATTCTACAACGTGACGCCCTTTCATTGATACTCTCTAAATTGTATTCATTTATGCTCCCGATTTCATTTCTCTCATAACTTAGTTATGCACAATGCAGAAAGATCCGCTTAAAACAAGGTTGAATTAAAGCATTTAACTCTTATTGGTTGAACTCGTATACTATAATAATAATATAAATTCCTTCATTCTCAAAATAACTATTTATTTTAAAGTTATACTATAATATAAAATTGTATTCCCTCCGTCTCAAAAATACTATCCATTTGAGATTTTCATATTTAGTACAATTAAAAGTGAAAATCGAAACAAGATAATTATTTTGGGACAGACGTATTTTATTAGTCCGTATACGAAAAAGATTAGAACGTGTTATTTCATCCATACAGGAGGCGAGGAGATACGTAGACATGTAAATTTTTATATATAAAAAAAAAAAGACATGTAAATTCGATCATATGAGTTCAAAGATTAAGACAAGCATGACAGAGTAATGGTAACGAAGTTTTCAGTTGTCCTTTTCTTTCACAATCAAAAAATAATATGAAATGCTTAACTTAACGAAGAAGTATGAATTACTTGTTGACTGTTGACTGTGAAAAGCTTTTTTTTTTTAAAAAAGAGAAGGGTATATCTGGTAATTCAAGGTGTAAACCAGGGGCATTTTCTATGTCCCTAACCGTCACCAACATCCTAACTGAATCCCCGCGCCAATACTTTGCTTTCCTTTTCTTTCTTTTTATATTTATGGATCGATTCTTTCTTCTTTGAAGAACACGCACCACACACTAAAACACACAGTGAAAAATTCTCAAACCCATGGCGTCGGAATTGCTCACTGGTTTTCCATTGCTGATTCAACAGTTCAGAGCCCTTTTCAAGAAGAATTTTTTACTCTCATGGAGGAGCAAGAGGGCCACATTCCCTTACTTGTTCTCCTCCCTTTTGTTCATACTCCTCCTTTTCTGTATCCAGAAAGCCATTGAAGCTCGGTTTTCGACGGCCACGGCGTTCAAGGACGTTTTGGATCCGACGGCGTCGGTGATTTCAGCTCCGATTCCGGCCTGTGAGGACAAGTTCTTTGTTAAATTGCCCTGCTTCGATTTTGCTTGGAGTGGTAATGACAGCGAAATCATTTCACGCATCGTCAAAGGGATTAGGGATAATAATCCTGGGAGGCCAATTCCGCCAGATAAGGTGTGGAATTTAATTTCAGTTTTCAGGATTCTGTTCCATTGAATAATTTTGAGTTTAATTGTGTGAAGAAAGAAACAGAAATTAGGTTGGGCTTGCCTTTTATTTTTCTTCCCCCCACCCCCCAGGATGGTCTTAAGACTTCATTTATTGTTTACTGGAGCTCATTTTTTCTTTTTTGTTCGAGAAAAAAAGAAGTACGACTAAAGTGTGTGATGAAATTTGATTCATTTTCGTTTCTAATGTTAGGATTTAGCAAATATTATTGTGTCCTTTCGTTAACAGGAAAGAGGATTTTTGTGTTTTATTCTTTTTTTTTTTTTTTTTTATATTTTCGTTTGAAGTGCATTCTGTGATGTAATTATTTTTAAAGAAGATTTTGGTTGACTTTTGGAAGAGGTTTAATTAGCCCATTAGCATTCTCAAAGTATTTCGACTGCGTGCCAAGAAGGAAAGCTATGAATCTGATATAGAGTTAATAGATATATCCTTCTGGATCGAAAGGTAAGGTTGGTATGGTTCCGGAAAAAAAAAAGAAAAGCCGTTTCTATGAGCGTCTAAATCTAATGCAGTCCCCTGAAAGCTGGAGTTTCATTTTCTGAATGTGTGGGAGTATACATCTCCAAATATTGATAATGTTGAATACTAGACATAACCAGTTGATAGCTGAATTATTTGTCTTAAAAACTGCAGTTAGCGATATGCCCGGTTATGAAGGTCAAAGCTGTTCCGTGAATCTGTTTGTAGAACTGTTTTCTAGTTGTTTGCACTGATTTGTGTGATGCTGCTTCTAATCCTATGAACTAAAGATTGTGTTCTTGTCCCGGCCTTATTGAAATCAAGTTCTTGGCTTTCAATATTAAAACGGCTGATCCATGAGATGTTGTGGTGGTTATGACTGCATTTATTTGCAATAAGAAAAAAAATTCTTAATTTATCAGAGATCACGATTACAAGCATGTTTATACACATTCGTGATTATATTGTTTCCTTGACTAGAGCATCTGCAAAATTTGTTAATTGGATACTTCTCTTTGATGAAGGTTCGATCCTTTAAAACGAAAGAAGAAGTAGATGGATGGCTTCTGAATAATCCGATGCAATGCACTGGAGCTTTGCATTTCCAGGAAATAAATTCTAGCGTAATCAGTTATGGTCTTCAGACGAATTCCACTCCATTATCTAAACGAGGAATGTTTGAAGATCCAACATTCAAGTTCCAAATTCCATTTCAGATAGCTGTGGAGCGTGAGATTTCCAGGCATCTCATTGGATGTATGGCTTTCCTCTTCATTATGAGTCGTGAAGTTTCAGTTATTTGATTCATCTGAATTAATCTTCTTGTTTTCTATTTTATATATTTTCAGATCCAAGCTTTAGCTGGGACATCAGTTTCAAGGAATTTGCACACCCTGGAATGAAAATGTTTTCCTCTTTATCCACAGCTGGACCAACTTTTTTTCTTGCAATTGCCATGTTTGGCTTTGTCTTTCAAATCAATGCCCTTGTAACAGAAAAAGAACTTAAACTTCGCCAGGTATTAGCATGTGTAAATTGAAGCGTTTCTTTCCAAAAGCTTTTTTTTATTGTTCTCGTTTTGATGTCTTCATATTTAATTCGCAGGCCATGACAATGATGGGTCTTTATGACACTGCGTATTGGTTATCTTGGATAACCTGGGAGGGGATTATCACACTTCTTTCATCACTGCTGACAGTTCTTTTTGGAATGATGTTTCAATTTGACCTTTTCCTTAACAACAACTTTGGGGTCATTTTCCTTCTGTTTTTCCTTTTCCAACTCAATATGGTACCTTAGCCACCCCAATAAGCTTCTTATCATTTATAACATCTGAAACTTTGTGATCGATGAAAACTATATCTTTTTCTTGCTGACATGTGATTGGTGCTTTGAATCACCAGATTGGATTTGCCTTCTTCTTGTCCACATTTGTCAGTAAGACATCTACTTCCACGACTTTGGGTTACTATATCTATATTTTTGGTTCAGTAACTCAGGTAAATTACGCTTTCAAAATTTGGTGAGTTAGAGCAGTTGTCTCATGAAAGCTGATTTGTTTTCCCTGTTTCAGGTTGTCACGGCATTTGGATTTCCATATAGTCGCGACTACCAAAGTTACTACCGTATTATATGGTCTTTCTTTCCGCCAAATCCTTTTGCTCAAGGCCTTAAATTACTTTCTGATGCAACTGCAACACCACGAGACCCTGGAATTAGCTGGAGCAGGAGATCAAAGTGTGCTCCGAATGACATTGACTGTGTGATAACAATGGTGCGTCACAAATGCTCTTTGAAACAAAGTTCTGATATTTTCCTTGGAGCTTCAATTAATTGGTTTCAACATGACTCTGACAGGATGATATATACAAGTGGCTTATAGGAACATTTTTGTTATGGCTGGCATTAGCAATCTACTTTGATAACATCATGCCCAACACAAATGGTGTGAGAAAATCAGTATTTTTCTTCTTACAACCTAGTTACTGGATGGGCAGTGGCAGGAACAAGGTTAAAGGTAACGCTTTTTGAAATCAAGCTCTAGGATATCCTGTTTTGTTAACATGTGACTCATTGGTGTATTGATTAAGATTTATATATGATTCAGAGGGTGGAATTTGTAGCTGCTCAGGATCAAGTTCAAGGCTTCCTCCAGAGAGTACAACACCAGACGACGAGGATGTTCTTGAAGAGGAAAATATGGTCAAACAGCAGGCTACTGAAGGTTTATTTGATTCAAATCTTGCTGTACAGATACGAGGTCTTGTGAAGACATATCCTGGTAAGAAAAGACCCATTTGTTTCTGCTGCAAGAGTTCACCAGCTTACCATGCTCTTAAGGTAAGCATACATTTTGAGCCTTTGGTTTCATTTGTTAAAAGATATGGTTTCACCATTCTTTGACTTGGCATTAACTTGGGTTCATCAATTGTGAGGGTTGTTTATACATCCTTTGGCATCTAATAAGAATGTCTTCCTGTATTTTCTTTATAAGCATCTAATTTTTTCATGCAATATCTACAAATTAGTTCTTGACATCCATGTCAGGAAGATGAAATTCTGTTCTAACCCGGATAATAATTCAATATTCACAATTTCCTATATCCTTTTTCAAAAAAAAAAAAAAAAAAATTTCCTGTATCAACTGCATCATTGTGGATGTTTGATCCGGTCACAAATTTCAGCTAAGATTCCTAATCCACAACAACATTTTACGTTCTGACAGATGTAACAGACTGAAACCTCCTAACCATATTTACAATTTCTTCTACAGTCTGTACCTGTTAATTCTCAAACTTTTTGTTCAAACTAGCTATTTAACTATGTATTCTAAGTGCCGGGAAAAAATGACAGGGTTTGTGGATCAACTTTCCAAAAGATCAGTTGTTTTGTCTACTTGGACCTAATGGCGCTGGAAAAACTACTGCTATTAACTGTTTGACTGGTATAACACCAGTAACCAGTGGAGATGGTAATATGTTTATTTTTTTCCTGACCATTTCAGTTTGTTTTGTTGAAATTCTGCTACCTGTTAAATAATACAGTAACAATCTCTTCATCAGCATTGATCCATGGACATTCCATCAGAAGTCCCAAAGGTATGTCAAGCATCAGAAGGATTATTGGAGTTTGTCCTCAGGTGAGTCTTCTTATTGAAAGGCTTTTCTTTAGAGTTCTTCATTTAATGAATCAATAGTTTATGAAATTTGATTTCCTCTTGCTGAATTATATAGAAGAGAATAATTTATCCATTCACTATTTCTGTAGTTTGACATTCTTTGGGATTCATTGTCTGGCGGTGAGCATCTCCATCTTTTCGCAAGTATCAAAGGTCTTTCCCGACCTTCAATTAAATCGGTCAGTGATTCACAAACTAAATGCAACCTTAATTTCCCTATTTCTTTTTTTTTTATTTTCTTTTTCCGAGTCCCATTACCGGTACAATGATACCTTCCCTTGATCTGAGTTATGTTCTCTAAAACTTCTATCTATATTGAACATAAAGTGCAGATTGTCGAGAGATCTTTAGAAGAGGTGAAACTAACAGAGGCGGCCAGAGTGAGAGCTAGAAGCTATAGTGGAGGAATGAAGCGAAGGTTAAGTGTCGCTATAGCCCTTATTGGTGAACCAAAGTTGATTATCTTAGATGAACCGGTCAGTGGATACCAAATTTTTTTTCCGCATGTTGTCTAGTACTGTAATTTATAAAGTAATCATCTGTGTGACATGTTTTCACTACTAGACTACTGGTATGGATCCAATATCTCGAAGGCATGTTTGGGATATTATTGAAAATGCAAAGAAGGGGCGTGCCGTCATTTTGACTACTCATTCAATGGAAGAAGCCGATGTCTTGAGTGATCGTATAGGAATTATGGCAAAGGGAAAACTTCGGTGTCTTGGAACTTCAATAAGGCTTAAATCAAGGTTTGGGACTGGTTTTGTAGCTGCCATAAGTTTTTCAGGTGCTATACGTGGACCTACAACAGTAACAGAGGCCGTCACTGCACCACAAATAGAAGCTGTGAAAAAATTCTTCAAAGATGTATGTCAAAATAGCATATTTCCTCTATATGGTATTAAAAAATATTTACCTGACTTTGTTCCCTTTCTAACAGCATTTGGATGTGGTGCCTAATGAGGAAAGCAGGTCTTTTCTTACCTTTGTCATTCAGCATGACAAGGAAAGCCTCCTGACGGTAAGCACTCAATAATTCCAATGTGGCTGTTGTACGTTAAGATTGAACCTACATTTAAAGGGTTGTTACAAACTAATGTTTTGAAAACAACCAAATTTGTTTGCTATAATCATCAGATTTTTTCAGTAGTCATATATTGGTAAGGAAATCCTCAGATAATCTGAAAGCTTGATAGGAGCTTTGCCTTCAAGTTGTGTTGGTCTTTGAAAAACTTCAGGAGCTTCAAAAGTTTCTATTACCACTTTGCTTTGGCTGCTAATAGAACCAAAATTAGCTTATTAGGATAGAAAAATTTTCGAACTTCAAGTTTTAATGAATGCCATGATGTAGGCTTTATAATATGTATTCCACATTAGCTGTGTTATTAGCTTCATGCTCACATATTCTGAAGTTTATTTGGAATTCCAACTACCTTTCAGAATTTCTTTGCTGAGCTTCAAGAACGAGAGAGAGAATTTGGTATTACAGACATCCAGCTTGGTCTCACAACTCTTGAAGAAGTTTTTCTGAACATTGCTAAGAAAGCAGAACTGGAAGCTGCTATTTTTGAAGAGAGATTTGCATCTCTGACCCTAGATTCTGGCATGTCCATTCAAGTATGTATACTGCTAGGATTGTAGATTCACTTTACTTTTCCTTCGGGGAAAGAAAATGAAAAACTAACACAATTCAAACATTACTTGTAATGTTTATACAATCGTACAGGTACCAATAGGCGCAAGGTTTGTTGGAATCCCTGGCACTGAAAGTTCAGAAAATCCAAGAGGTTTGATGGTGGAAGTCTACTGGGAACAAGATGACACGGGAGAACTCTGCATTTCTGGTCATTCTTTGGAAGCTCCTATACCTCCAAATATTCGACAATCAGCAACAACCGCTTCTCATAGCCGGAGGTTTGGCCAATCGGGACGAATATTTGGATTTGTAATTGATCTTGATGGAAACAGTTCCAGAGATTCTTAGCTTTGTCCTCCTCGTAAGGCTAGCTGTACATATGACTATAAATCCTTGGTCCATTAAGTTTTTTACATATTTGGATTTACTTCTTTTCTATTTATGTCTGATATAAGCCGTGCTTGCCGTCAACTTTTAGTTTGTACATTCCCTTAAACTTTCATAAAATTTCTGGAAAATGATTCGTCTCGTTAAGCTGCTGCATCCAGGTAGGAGGAAGTAAGGCTGCTACCCGACCAAAGTATCCAAAGAAACAGAAATTCAAAATATATACATTCACCAAGAACTACCCTATTAAAAGTTTCTAGCTTCTTGGCTTCTTAGGACTACACAAACAGCACTGGAATAAAGAATTACCTCATCGCTCAAAATCCTATCAAGCTCTAAGTAATGCTGAAATGTAGATCTCTTGTGGCTGTAGGAATAGGACTTTGTTATATATTTACAGGTAAACACTGTTTCAGAGTCCTGCAGATATCTCATTTCTGAAGTAAAAAAGCCTAAAGATTGATCACTGATAATAATTTTTGTTCCGCAGTTCAACTTCTCACAAAACCATCTTAGAAGTACAAATAGCAGAAACAAAATGCATGTTGAAGAATCAAAGCTTATTCGGTTATCCGTTGCCTTCCATACTTGTAACTTCCTATCTAGGTAGAGAGCGGGGTTTCTTTTGCTACCTTGATGAAGACATCCTCCATAGTAGTGTCAGCAATCTCCCAAGCCTTGACCGTAAACCTTTCCCTTGCAACCTTTACAGCCAAAAACACAACTGATAGCTTCACGTCAGCCTTTGGAATCTCAAATTTTTGGGTTCCTGATAGGTGGTATGTCCTTTTGGCGTTTGGGGAGAGATGCTTAACCAAGTCTTCCACGTCCTTTTCATTCTGGGACAACGTTGCCATGGTGAAAATGTATGTCCCACCATATCTGTGCTTTAACTGCAATTACAAATAATCCATTCAATTGAGAAGAGGTTCTAGAGATATACAACAACAAATTCAGCGTCTTAATCATGCAACATTTCCAATTCATCAGAAATGGCATCAAAGAGTAACAGAACGACCTTAAACTGATATTGCAGTGGTACCTCCGGAATATGACAGGAAGAACTAGAAATAATATGACATCAGATATCAACTACTGTCCTAGACAGTGAGATGTAGGTTTGTGAATCACTTCCGGGAAACATTAGGCCATGCTCACTTCGTTAAGTAGAAATACAACCAATAACTAGCAGTCGTAAAGCCATTTAAAGAAAATTGGCCTTTCCTCATAAATATCCTTCTTTTAACCATCAACATACTAATGACAATTCATTGGTAAATTTCAGAGCAAACTTCGTCTGTTACTTTGAAAACTAAGAATTTAGCGTTGTTGGATGAACCATAGCTTGCTAGGTGGATAGCCAAACTTTGACAAGATCAGGAAACCAATATAATAATAGTTCACAGAGAACAGTAAATCTACCTCATCAGGACTTCCCAAACATTGAAGGCTTCCATCCACAAAAATTCCTATACGATCACACAGGTGTTCTGCCTCCTCCATAGAATGGGCTAGACATGAACAAGAACACTAATCATCAGTGCCATGGTCAATGGCATGTACCTCTTGAATAATACAAAACTCATATAAGGATACGAACAACTCCAATCTTGAGAAAAAGAAAATGCATACATAAACCAAATTTTATTGCCTAAACTCATCACCAGATTTTAGAAACAGAATAGGCAAAGTGATTGGTGAGTTAAAGGGCAAAGGAAATTATAACAATAAAATTTACATGAGGAAAAGACAAAGGGAATAACTAGGCAGAAAGTTAAATACTTGTTAGAATGATTGCTCTATTCTGTTTCGCTTGGCTCACAGCATCCCACAATAAATTTCTTGAAGCAGGATCCAACCCTGTGCTAGGCTCATCCAGGTAGACCACCTGAAAATTTTCAACAGGTTCAGAAAATGAATGGCAATTCAAGAAGAATAATCAGCTATATAAAGTAAGTAGATCAGGTATACTTTTGGGTCCCCTATCAAGGATATTGCAATGCTCAATCTTCTTTTCATTCCACCACTGTATTTCTTCACAAGTTTATCAGCATCTCCTCGAAGTAAATTAACTTTGGCAAGAGAATCATTGACAGCCTGTTGATTTGTAGCAAATAAGCAAAAAGAAAGTTACACATCTTTTTCAGTCGTTATGGAAAAACATATGCAGGAATCAATGCTAATAATGTTGATCATGGATCTGTTATCCTTCCACAAATTCTAATATGCTTAAATTGCTAACCAAAAATTAAAAAACAAAAAAAAAAGAAAAAAAAAGAAAAAGAGAGATGCTTAAGTTCATATTGAATTCTCAAATATAACAGCTGATAGGATATTGGGGAAGAAGTACAACCTTCGGCCATATGAAATAGCTAGGAATCATGTTTCCAGTCATGTTATTAAACTATGGAAAACTTGAAGAGTCAATGAACATCAATGTTAGCTTTGTAAAATTGCATTGCATCCTATCTATTATGAAGATCTTTGGGCTTAACAAAGATAATTAGATCAATATCTCATATCAATAATTTGGATTATTTACAGTTGTGTTTCATTCGAGTTTAAACTTTTGCAATTGATATCTGAAGTTTCTAGCATTGGGAAACCAAATACAGAAACACTTCAGCTACTCTGGGTCTCAGAGTGATGGAAAAAGAAAAAAATGCCCCAAAATATTTTTGTGCAGAAGTTCTTTATTGTAACAAAACTAAAAGGTGGAACATGATACCAATGAAATTTCATGTACTCCAAACCAATAGAAATGAATTCTATGCTTCGACTGATCAACAAATTCATTGACTTACTTTTGATAAGTTTGCACCAGTGAGGTTTTTAAGTCTACCGTAGAAGTTTAGATGCTCTCTTCCTGTCAATGTATCCCAAAGGAGGCTGTATTGACACAAAAAAAAAACAAAGAAGTTATTAACCCCCCCAAAAACAAAAAAATAACAAAGGAGTTAACAGTTATTCTGCATTCATGATTGGGTAAAAGGAATTGTTGGACAATCCCGTTTCTTTTAAAGATCAAAGGATTATGGTTGAGCTTACTCATGTTGTGGGCACACACCCATGCTAGCATATATTGCACTCATCTGTGTCCTCAAATCTAGGCCCCCAATAAATGCTGTGCCAGAGCTAGGCTCTGTAAGTCCAGTCAGCTGGCAATCACGGTGTATCAGTATCAAATTTAGAAACCAAGGAACCAAATACAAAATTGCACTCTGGAGTGCATCTCTTCCGCATCTGGAATCATTGAAACTCTTTTGAGTATTCTGTACTAACCATGCTGATGGAGGAAGTTTTACCAGCTCCGTTGGGGCCAAGGAGGCCAAAGCATTCTCCATGAGCTACAGCAAGAGATAAACCTTTGACAGCATGCTTCTCAGGGTTCCCATCTTGTGATGGATATGTCTTTCGGAGCTTGTCAGAGATAATGGGATAACCAGAATTGGGTTCACTCAGTAACTGTTCAACCTTTTCAGTCTACAAAAGAAGCCAATGAGAAGGTTAAGGCTTTGCATGATCTTATTATTATTCTAGCAATGATTGTGAGACATTGATGTAAAGTTTAGTCGTTATACTTTCAGATGCCGACAAAAGCACAAGGGCTGGTTACTGTGTGATACGTCTTATATGATGAAGGGAGGAAGACTAAGGCACTGAGAACTACAACATCCAAGGTTGTATTTTTTACTATACTAATACAAACATTTATTAGACACTCAAAAAGGGGATACCTGCAAACATAAGATTTAGCAAACATTCACATATCTTCATTCTTTGCAAATGATCACTTTCTTCTCAGTCTATGATTACTTTCAAAATGGAACTTGAAATACCTCTTGATCTATGTCCTGTTTATCAAGTAGAATTTGAATCCTAGATTCTTGGTTTTGTGAACGGTTGTCGAAGGATGAAGTGCTCTTCCGAGATATTTGGAGAAGACAATGACATCCTCCTGATGCTATATATTTTTCAGCACAATATGACATGAGAAGAAATATGATCCATTCACCTGTTGTGATTATGAGTACTTCTCTCATTCCACTATTTTTGTCCCTTAGGCTCCGCCACTGCATACCATAAGCCCCCATGTCGAAACCATGCTGTGAACACTGATCAAAGTCATACAATCCACGATATAGAGACAACCCGGGAAACAGCTCCAGTACGATAAGCCACGATCCTTAGGGCAAGGAAGAAGTAAGATATAGCAGAAAGATAACAGAAAACTATAACTTCACAAAATCTAAAACTTTTTTCTGGTGTTTTAACAGCACATGAGATGCTTATTAGAACCAATGAATTATCCTTAGAAGAAAAGCATTTCGAATAAAAAGTGTACAAGCTGATTTGCAACAATATTAATATTGTGAGGCCAGAAAGCTAAAAATCTTCAGAGCTCTCGAGTTTTTAACATTCCTACAGTAGAAACATTCCTATGAAGCCTTCCTTTTACGCACCACAAGGTTTTATCTTTGTAAGAATTGGAAAAAGGGGAAACAAATTTTGTTATGGTTGCTGAAACTCCTATGGCAGATTCATCATGTTTACTGTCTTCTATTCAACCTGAGAGTATTAGATATCACTTCCATCTAAATAGACGATGAATTGCTGAAACAAATTCAGACAGACAAATCTTGTCACTGCCAAAGTTTCTAAATTAGCTACAGTGATTTATGGATGCACATTATTATTGTCTTAGCAAAAGCGTTTTTTTTTTTTTTTTTCTGTTTTTGACAAAACAAAAGTGTTATTCAGTTCCAAGAGATAGAGGAGTACTGAAGATTGGCTGACACTTATAGGAGAAAGCAAGAAACAGGAAAATAAAGTTCTCAATTCTCCATAAAGTTCTCAATTCCAACTAAGTGAAGTTCAACTATTATTAATGGAATGCAAACTCCGGGGAAATAAGACACCCAGCAGCATATGAATGAAAAAGTAACTGCAATATATATATATATATATGTATCATTCTCTTCTAAGAAAAGAAAATACAAATCAGAAAATTTTCTCAAGCCATTTACATTTAAGAAAGCAAAAAACCAAAAAACAAAAAACTTCTCGTCAACTTACTTGGAAATGAAGTATCTTCAATCAAGCGATTAAAAAGAGTTCTCCCCAAGATCCAACTTCCAAATACCAAAATGAAACCAACCACTGCACAAATCCAACCTCACTGTAAATTAGCAATAAGACAAAAGGAGCATATGAAAAACAGATATTTTTCTACGTTGACCTGAAGCAGTCTTCACATTTGAAAACAAGTTCCCGAGCAGAAATGCTGATGAAATTAGCAAGTTTATGTGGAGGAAATAGAAAAGAAGTTGGATGGAAATTGAATTCAATGTGAAGAACACTAACCCTGCAAAAGAAATATAAGCTGTGAGGGCACTAGACCAACTGTGAAGTAATTTGAAGCCTTAATGTCACTTACCCGCCGCATAGCCGAAGGCCAGAAAACATAACATGTAGAGTGAACATATTATCAGAAAGTATAGATATGTAATCACCCAATAAGGTGCATCACCAAGACCATGCATTTTCATCATTATCGTCAATTTCTGCTGCTTCTCATATACCAACGACGTCAGTACGACCTATTTCATAATGAGAAAAGAAAACAAGAACAATTATGGACATTCTGTAAATCAGGAAAAAAGAATAAGTTGGTTCCCTGAGGATAACGAAGTTTCTCTGTACACTGTTCTTGCTTGAAGCTAAAAGTGCTAAAGTTTGTTCAGTCACGTTGGAAGTCTAACTTTGAGATTCAACTTTGGTTTTTTATGCCTCTTGATTAGTTATCACAGTTGTTGCTTACCAAAACCGTTTTGTGCCTCATTGATTAGCTATCACATTATGATCAACTGTTACTTCAAACAAGAGGTACAAAAGAAGAATTTTTAACAATGTTTCCAGGATGAGATAATCACATTATGGCTTTATATGTTTCATATTAATTTTCAGCGAGAACAATGAAAATGAAAACAAAAGGAAAACCCAAACTAAGAGGGGAAAAAATTGAGAAACACATACATCATTTGTAGCCATTGTTTTTCTTCATAAAAATCGTCTACACATCCCATCCTTTTATTAAGGAAGGGATCAAGTTCTGGAACTTACCGGAAATAATTGTAGTATCACCCAAGGGTAAAACAATGCACCAATTGTGGACGCCATGTCCAAAGAGCGTCCTAGACCCTGGGGAGTTGGCATCTCTCCAATAAATTCTAGTGTCATCTTCACAGGACGGCGAAGTAAAACTTTGAGAAAAGCATTCCACACCTGCGTCCGCAAGAAACTAGAGGTTAAAATTGTTTTTAGGGCACCTTCTTAAAATTTATGTGCTTTCAGGAATGAATTCTAATACAACTTTTGTTTGGGAGAAGTACAGATAAGGCATCCTAGATATTCTTAAACATTACATATTAATGAAACGATAATGCTAACTTAAATCAGGAAGAAAGGAAAATGAAAAGGTTAATTTTGGGTCGTACCATGTTCATAGCACTTGCTGTGGACCCCAGTTTGATTGGATTTCCGAAGGCATACTGCGTCTTAGAATTATTATACCACACGATGACATCAAAATTTGTCAAGCTCGAGTCTTGAAAATCATAGGCTGTTAAAGTATGCATTGACATGAGGCTTCAATCAGTTGCTTGAACTTCAGATATAGAAGCTTGAGAAGGAAAGCCACAGTGTAAAAGAACAAACCAGTCAGTATCTCATTGATCTCTCCTTGGGGATTCCCATTGTAATAGCCTTTAAATATTTCATTGTTAATCTGTTTGAAGTCCGTACGCCAGAGATGTACACCTTGAAGACATAAAGCATCTGCAACTTTTGTTCACAAAAACCATACAATACTCAAGTAGACATCATGTAAGATAAAGTGCATAAGATATCCAATGACAAAGAATGAAATATTTTGGTATATAGCATGCAATTTGAACTATATGCTGTCAAAAGGAGAAAATGTAGTTCCAAGTATAAGAACCATTAGAGGACTTCAGAACCTTTTAGTGGATAAAAGAGGCTAGATCATGTAATTCTTACCAAGAACTTGGAAAGGAATAGTTTACCTGTGTGTTTCACCTTCCACAACATACAATTTATAGTTTCGTAGCAATACTGATTCACACCATGTTTTGAGTACGCACATAAACAGTCTCAAAGCTGACTTTATTTTAAATTGGGAAGTACCTTGTTCTCTATCTTGAATAGAAATGCGAATTGAAAAGTTCTTTGTGCATTGGGACTGAATATAATAGTACGATCCTTTTGAAGTTTGGTGTTCCTCCTCCACCTGCGTAATTTTTAAGGTTATAACCTTCCACACAAAAACTCAACACAGACACTAATCGCCAGGTAGGTTGAGTGTGTATACAAAAAAGAATCTGATTTAAGGAAGAACAATCAATGGCGAAGAATCTTACAAAAACACCATCAGCGCTGGCATTAGGTCCAGTTGTGAAATTAGTGAACAGATTCCCAGCCACACCTGTCCATAGTAGATAATAATCAAGGTTAATGTAACTCCCAAAACCTTCACCTCATATATGTTCTAAGATTTATAAAAAAATAATAAGATGTAAACGAATCTTATGTGATACCTTCCACAAAAGTTCTGTTGTTTCCAGTTACAAGAACTGTTACTGGACAAGCGCCATTGTTGTTTCGACAAGATTGGTTTGGCAAATCTTGAGATGCTCGAAACTCAGGAGGTGAGATTTGGAGTAGGGGTGTCAACGCTGTAGGCTCTTTTTCCCCCAAAGGTTCTTTATCCTTGTCTTGATGATTTAGGTAGTATCGAAGCCCTCCCAGCAAAAGGAACAAAGCAACTGGGAATAGGATCAGCCTAAGATTGGACCTCAGATGCCTTTTCTGAGAATTGAACAACAAGAGAAACAAAAATCACACCTAATGAACTATTTTTATCCAGTTTGGCATCACTTTTATGCAAAACCACCATCATCATTTTCATCAACATAAATACTACTGAAATTCATTGGCAAGAGGAACCAACTGAGAACAAGTATGAAACTCCAAAAAGAGAAACTCAAAGTGCAAAAAAAAACCATGAAGTTGAAAAACAGAGTTCATAGTTTCGAAATACATACATGGTAGATCAGATTCTTGATAAACAAAGCAACTGCTTGATTCCAAAACCCTCCCATTCTCGTAGACTGGTTGGTTCTCTTCTGCAGCAAATGATCAGACCTGGAAAAAAAAATCAATTCTACAATCTGCTGAACTCTACCAATCAAAAAAAAGATTCAATTTTTTTCAACCACTTTTCTTCTTTGGGACTTGTAAATCCACTCAGCAACCGTTTTGGCCTTTTCTCCAAACTAGAAAACCGTCCAATCCCCCCCAGAGAGCTTGCAAAAAGTGTTCAAAATACCCAGTTGGAAAAACGTGTTTTTCCCACTCAAGAAAATACGTTTCGTTTCAGCCTTTCTTAGTACTAGTACTACCTAGGAAATCTGGCGTGAAATGTCGGATAGAATTAAAGGGGTTTTCTTGATAAGGACAAACAAAAGAGTTAAATGCTTTCATAAAGATGGCAACTTTGGTAATCTCGCACCATTCTTGGGATAATAAGATTTCATCACTCTGAGTTGGAATCAGGGACAGAACACTACAACGCGTTATTACCAAAAACAAACCAATGTCAACCACAAGTCGAACTGTGGGCTAAAAATTACAGAGATTATAAGGGTTTTTTAGCCGTTTGGAGAAAAAAAAAATTGAAATTTGGGAGAAGGGATTCGATGGAGGTGGAGCTACTGAGTGGGTTTCCCCTGTTTTTGCAACAACTTCGTGCTTTGTTAAGGAAGAACTTGATTCTTGCATGGAGGAATAAAAAGACAACATTTTTAAGGCTTTTTTCCTCATTTTTCTTCATTGCTTTCTTGTTTGCACTCAACAAGATTGACAGCAGAAGGGATGGTGTTTCTGAAGCAGTTTATGATCCCAAGGCCATATCTTTTTCTTCAATTCCTGCCTGTGAAGAGAAACTGATCATCAAAACCCCTTGCTTTGACTTCGTTTGGAGTGGGAGTGGAAACCAGAGGATCGAGTCAATTGTCAATGGGATTATGATCAATAACCCTGGTCGCCAAATTCACCCCAACAAGGTAAGATTTCCTTACGGTTTTGCCTACCAAAGCTATTGTTTAGGGATAATTATGTATAAATGTGCTTATTTCATCGATGAATGTACTTTAAGAAGATGGATTCATGCCCATGACTGTTGCCTGTTCTTGTTGTTTGGACCCAGATATTGTTCCGAGTCCAAAAGAATTGGAAGATTTGAAAAGGGTTGTAAGTGCCCAGAGAATTAGCAAAAACATTAATGATGATTTCTTGAGAATCCATAATGTTTCTCAGTTGAGGTTATTTTGACTCTTTGCAGGTTAAGTCTTTTAGGACAAAAGATGAACTGTATGATTGGCTTTTGCAAAACCCAATGCGTTCACCTGGAGCTATACATTTTACTGAAGAAAGTGATAATGAGATACGTTATGGCATTCAAATAAATTCCTCATCTTCAGACTTTAGGATTGGAAGGCAATTTGAGGATCCCGTTTTGAAGTTTCAAGCTCCCCTGCAATATGCGGTTTCGCGTGAAATTTCCAGATCCTTAATTGGAGGTAAATGTGTTACTGATTATCTAGCCTGATTGTAATAGGTTATAAGACTTTTTAATGTTTTTCTGTTTGATCAACAGCATGACCTGAGTTATATTATGTTTTGTGGTTTGATCTTCAGACAAGAGTTTCAGCTTTAATATTGGTCTAAAAGAATTCGCACACCCTGGCTCAAAAATTCTCTCTTCTGGAAGAGAGCCTTCCCAATTGACAGCAGGATTTCAAGTGATGTTCTTCTTTGCAATCGCTGTGTTCGGTTTCATAGCTCAAGTTCACACTTTGGTTCTGGAGAAGGAAATGAAACTTCGTCAGGTAATGAACATGGTGGTCTGATCTTCTTTTTGACTGGCTTTAAGCTATCTGTTTTTGCTTTTCTCTTCTGAAATTCTTCATTTCCTTCTCAGACAATGACTATAATGGGACTTTCTAACTCTGCCTACTGGAGTTCGTGGTTCATATGGGAGGGATTTATGGCGTTTCTCACATCATTTTTCATTGTTGCTTTTGGGGCATTGTTTCAACTTGATCTTTTCTTGAAAAACAGCATCGTGGTTGTGTTTCTCCTATTTTTTCTTTTCCTGGTCACCATGGTAAGCTCTTCAACTCATTTGTTTCTGTTTTAAGATACCGTGAATTGGAGGAAAAAGAAAAGGAAGAAATAAATTGAATTTTTGTCTAAAATATTTGCTGTCCTGAAATTTTTAGGTTGGTTTTGCATTCATGATTTCAACTCTCCTCAGCAAATCATCTTCTTCCACATCAGTTGGTTTTGCCTTATTGATTCTGGGCATCGCAGCATCGGCAAGTTTCTCTTTGAAATCTTGAAATGCTACTGATTCAGGAATCTCTAACTTACTAGTATCCCCTTCTTTTGGTTTGTAGTTCTTGTCTTTCTTAATCTATGATGGTGGAGTCAAGAGAAGATACCGCATATTATGGTCGTTTTTCCCATCTAATCCTTTTGGTGGCGCATTGTATTGGCTGTCTTTCCGTGGTGGCGTTGGTTTGAACGATATAGCTAAGTGTCTGGACGAGGATTGTTTTTCCATGGTATGAAAGCTTAAATTCCTCACTTGAATTTTTTTTTGCCACTTACAATTTCATGGTCTTTTTAGCTTAATAATGCAGTATCACAAAATTCACTTTTTTCCTCATCATTTGAAAATTTTCACATTTGTTGATTTATCTCTTTTGTTGTGACTACCAGAACTACTTCTATGCTTGGCTTGGTTCAACATTCTTTCTCTGGTCATTTTTGGCTATTTATCTCGATAACGTAATTTCCAACTCTGCTGGTGTTAGAAAACAGCTTTTCTACTTTTTAAAGCCAAGTTACTGGAAAGGGAGAGGTGATAATAGAACACTTGCAAATTAAATGATCTTTAAGTCCTGCAACCTTATGTTGTGCCTAACCTTCTCAACCTAATTTCTTAGAGGAAATCACACAAGTTGGTGCCGGTTCTATTGCACAGTCATCACATTTCAGGCCTGATGATGAGGATGTCCGGGAAGAGGAAGATTTTGTGAAACAATCAGCAATGCAAGGCAAAATTGATGCTGAAGTTGCCGTCCAACTACGGGGATTTGCTAAGTCATACCCTAAAACTACAAATTTACGCTGTCATCGGTTCTGCTTCTGCATTTTTTGCTGTACATGCAAAACAGAAAAACCCTTTGATGCTGTCAAGGTAAAACCTTTGATCTTGGCGTGATCAATCAAGCATATCTTTATCCTCTTGTTCTTTTTCTTTCTACAACTAGAAAACATTAGTTTTTAAATCGTTATATGACTTGAAGGCCTTTATTTTCAGAACTTTTGGATGAACTTCCCAAAGGATCAATTGTTTTGTCTTCTGGGACCAAATGGAGCTGGAAAGTCTACCATTATTAGTTGCTTAACTGGAATCATTCCAGTGACTCACGGAGATGGTAACTGTCTCTTTTCATATCATTCTTCATTTCCAGCTTACCAGGTGTGTTTGCATTCACCATTTGGCTAATAACCTCAGTGTCTTTCTTTCATGACAGCTCTCATCTATGGAAATTCTGTTCGAAGCTCTGCTGGAATGTCAAGAATACGAAGAATGATAGGAGTATGTGCACAGGTGGTGTCTTATCAACCTCGTCAAAACTGTTACCAAACATTCAAATGTTGAACCGTAGAAGCTAACAAACTTGAAAACTTGCAGTTCGACTCTCTTTGGGATGCATTATCAGGCAAAGACCATCTTCAACTCTTTGCAAGTGTGAAAGGCTTGCCCCCGGTAACTCACAAACAGGTTAGAAACCAAGCCGGTGTTTACAATTTAAAAAATATTGTTAATTTTTCTGGATGAACTTTGGCCTTCTAAATTTTCAGCAAATGTGCAGGAAATACAACAGTTGTTGGCTGGCGTAGATATGGAAAAGGTTGCTAATGTGAGAGCAAAAAGCTACAGTGGTGGAACAAGACGGCGACTGAGCCTGGCTATCGCTCTTATTGGAGACCCTAAACTTCTCATCTTAGATGAACCAGTATGTAAAGTTCAAATTTCAATTTCATTCAAGTTTAACCAAGTCCAAACTGATTTTATCAAAATTGCAGACAACTGGAATGGATCCTATTACTCGAAGACGGGTATGGGATGTCATTGAAAATGCGAAGAATGGACGTTCGATCATCCTAACAACACATTCTATGGTCGAAGCTGACATCTTATCGGATCGCATTGGAATCATGGCGAAAGGAAGGCTTCGCTGTATCGGCACATCCACAATGCTTAAGTCGAAGTTCGGTGCAGGTTACACTGCAAAGGTGTCATTCCCAAAAGAACATTTCGACGCTTCAGTGGGAGAAAATGACATTAACGCAGAGCGGCGTGAAGCTGTGAAGTCCTTTTTTAAAAATGTAACAATTCCTTGATATTCTTGGTTGTCAATATTTCTTTTTAATATAATTCTAGGTCTTTATTTGAACGGCTTCTCTATCATGCAGCGACTCAATGTTGAACCAAAGGGGGAGAATAAATACTTCTTGACCTTCACTCTTCCAAATGCTGGGGAAGATATCTTAGCAGTAAGTATGTGCATTTGAGTTACCTCAGAGTTGATTCTCTTTTCCAATTCCATCACTTTTACTTGGACAGGACTTCTTTTCGGAGCTAGAAAGCCGAGAAAGCCAATTTGGCATCAAAAGCATCCAATTAGGTTTAGGAACTCTTGAAGAAGTTTTCTTAAACATAGTAAAGAATGCAGAGCTAGAGAAAACTGGTGCCGAGGAAAAACATGAAAGACTGACCTTGCCATCCGGAGATACTGTACTGGTATGCATATTATTGTGAAGCACTAAACATTCAAAGTTGCAACAGATTTTGAAGCGAAAATTTAAGCTGAAATGGAATTCACAACAACTGTTTTGCACTCATCATTATGCAGGTACCCGTTGGAGCCAAGTCTGTTAAGATACCAGGAACCGAATCACAAGAAAATCCCGGCGGCCTTATGGTTGAAGTTTTTTGGGAGCAGGACGACACCGGAAATCTCTGCATTTCAAGCTATTCAGCTGAAAAGCCGATACCACCTACAGTTTAACCAACTGCAAATTTCTGATGATATTAGATCATAGTTTTTTGTTCCATGAAACGTCCTTTTATTGTTAAATAGAGTACTAGTGAGATTAAGGCTACTTGTTTGTATTTGGATTATTTTCAAGGCCTTGTAATGTAGTAGTACTAAACTCCTTTCGGATCTGTAATTGATCTCGATGAAAATAGTTCTAGCAATTCTTAGCCTTATCCTGTGATTATATCTACAAATCCCTGGTCCTCTAGATTTTTACTTTCACACACAATTCACATTGTTCTAATGGTTCTGATATAACCCATGCATACCATTTTGTACGTCTTGTTAAGCTGCTTCATTCAGCCGGTAGCAGGAAGTAAAGCTGTTACCGGAACCAACTTTGTAATTGGTTCAAAGAAATGGAAAGCCAAAATATCTACACTCCGCAATAAACTACGCACTATTGAAAAGTTTCTAGCTTCTAAGACTCTTTCCAATCAAACTTTACACATACAACAAAGGAATAAAGATTTCCTGATCAAGCCTAAGAGCCGTGACATCTCGCATTTGAATGTGTTTTATCTTGAGCTATGGCTGATCATGAAAATTTTTTCTTTAATCACAGATAGTATCACCAGTCCAACTTCATTCCAAGCCATCTACAAGTATATATAGCAGAAACAAAATGCACATTGAAGAATCTATGCTTATTCAGTTATCGTTTAACCTTTCTACCATGCTTGAAGTTTCATATCTAGGTCGACATGGAACTTTCTCTCGCCACCTTGATGAAGACGTCCTCCATAGTAGTATCAGCAATTTCCCAAGCCTTGACAGTAAACCTCTTCCTTGCAACTTTTACATACTGAAACACATCTGACAGCTTCACGTCAGCCTTGGGAATCTCAAATTTTTGGGTTCCGGAAATGTGGTATGTCCTTTTGGCATTTTTGGAGAGATTCTTTGCTAATTCCTCCACGTCCTTTTCATTCTTGGGCGACGTTGACATTGTAAAAACGTATGTCCCGCCATATCTATGTTTTAGCTGCAACAACACATGAGCCACTCAACTGAGCTGAGGTTCTAGAGATATATAACAAGTTCGGTTTCTTAATCACAAAAGACTTCCAATTCAATTACTCATGATTAGAAGTTTCAGAAAGGAACTTGCTTAAAGGGCCTAGGGCCTAGGCCATCATTTAGTCCATGTTCAACATCAAAGAGTGACAGAATAAGCATTGCAAATATTGTAGCTGCACCTCTAGAATATGACAGTTCAGGAACCACTATAAATAATATGACATTTGAAATCGATTTAGGTGCTGCCTGGTTCTGATTAATCATCGGTAAATTTTAAAGGCAAAGAAGACAGTTACTTTATCTGTCACTACAAAGAACAAAGTATTTACCAATTGTTGGACAAACTCTGTCTCTAACTAGTTGGGTGGATGATAATACTTTGACTATATGAGCAAGCAAATCAATAATACTGCAGAGAAAATACTAATTCTACCTCATCAGGACTTCCCAAACATTGAAGACTACCATCCACGAAAATTCCTATACGATCACACAGGTGTTCTGCCTCCTCCATAGAATGGGCTGAACATGAATAAGAACCGTAATCATCAGGATTGTTTTCAAAGGCACGTAAAACTCTTGAATAATATAAAATTCATTTCGAGATACAGAACAATGTAAAAGCATGAGAAACAAGGACCAGACATTGATTGCATGGAGATCATAACTCAGGCTTCAATGTGCTACTTATTCAAATACTATGAAATACTCTGACCTCAAGAAATAAGAAAACGTACACATAAACCTGAGTTTATTGCCTAAACTCATCTCCAGATTCTAGAAAACAGAATAGATAAAATGAAGGGCAAGATCGTTGGCAAACAAGAAAGACAAAGTTACACACGAGGAAAAGATACAACGGGGATAATAAGGCAGAAAGCTTAAGTACTTGTTAGAATAATTGCTCTATTCTGTTTTGCCTGGCTCACAGCATCCCACAATAAGTTCCTAGAAGCAGGATCCAACCCTGTGCTTGGTTCATCCAGGTAGACCACCTGGAAATTTTCCAAATGTTCAGAAAATGAATGAGGCAATTCAAAAAGAACTATCAGTTATATCAAGTAAGCAGATCAGGTATACTTTTGGGTCTCCTATTAAGGATATTGCAAGACTCAATCTTCTTTTCATTCCACCACTGTACTGCATCGAAAGTTTATCAGCATCTCCTCCTCGAAGCAAGTTAACTTTCGCGAGAGAATCATCGACAGCCTGTTCATATATAGCAAATAGCCAAGAAAAAGTTATATCACTTATCATATAGGTGGATATGAAAAGCATATGATGAAGTCAATATCAATAATGTTAATCTTGGCTCTTTTATCTTTCCAGCAACTGTTAGATGAATTGATTCATATCAAATCCTCAAATGTTGCACCTCATAAAGAAATTGAAAAGGACCACATTAACTTTCACCGCCAATAGGAATCATGTTCTCCGTCATGTCATTCAACTTTTGAGAACACTGAAGTACAAGAGTTGATGAACATAAATGTTACCTTTGTGAAAGTGCTTTGCATCCTATCTATTGTGAAAATCTTAGAGATGAACAAAGAGAAATAGTTCATTATCTCATTAACAATTGGATTATTTACATATGTATTTTATTCGAATACAAACTTTTGCAATTGTTCACTTCAACTACTCAGGTTGTCAGTGTGATGATAAAAGAAATAGTACTGCATGCAGGCAATGTTTTTGCTATAATAAAAGGTGAAACATTAATCCGAATGTATTTGTAACAAAATAAAAGGTTACTAATACGAATGAGGTTTCATTAACTATAAACACATTCTTTGTTTGGACAGATCTACAACTTCATCTACTTACTTGTGATAAGTTAGCACCAGTGAGGTTCTTAAGTCTACCATAGAAGTTCAGATGTTCTCTTCCAGTCAAGGTATCCCAAAGAAGGCTGTATTACCACACCAAATAACAAAGACAGTAAAACTTATTCTGCTTCCATGATTGGATTAAAAAAAATTCTTGCAGAAGGCCCGTTTCTTTTATAGGTCAAAGGATTATGGTTGAGCTTACTCATGTTGTGGGCACACACCCATGCTCGCATATATTTCTTTCATCTGTGTCCTCAAATCTAGGCCTCCAATAAATGCTGTGCCAGAGCTAGGCTTTGTAAGTCCAGTCAGCTGCCAATCACGGAGAATCAGTACCAGACTGATAAACAAAGAAACCGCATGGGTATAGAATCATTGAAACTCTTTTGAGTATTCTGTACTAACCATGCTGATGGAGGAAGTTTTACCAGCACCGTTCGGGCCAAGGAGGCCAAAGCATTCTCCATGAGCTATTGCAAGAGACAAACTTTTGACAGCATGCTTCTCAGGGTTCCCGTCTTGTGCTGGATATGTCTTTTGGAGCTTATCGGAGATAACAGGATAGCCAGAAGTTGGTCCACTTAGTAACTGTTGAACCTTTTCTATCTACAAAAGGTGCAAATGAGGATAAGACATTGCATCATTTTATAAACTCATAACTGTTTGTAATACTCTTAACTGCTGACAAAAAGGACAAGGGCTGTTTACTGTCTGATACTCTTATATAACGAAGCAAAGAATCTCAGTAGAATATATCCAAAAAAGAGCTTAGCATTGAGAACTACAACACTGACTCACTGAGAATGGTATAAATTACTAAACTAATGTGTTGATGTCAGAATTGAACTTGAAATACCTCTTGATCAATATCTTGTTTATCAAGTTGAACAAGAACTCCTGGTTCTTTGAGTTGTGAATGAGATTTGTCAAATGATGAAGTAGTCTTTTGAGATCTTCGGAAAAGACGACCACAACCTTCTGATGCGGTATATTTGTTAGCACAATAAGAGATGACAAGAAATACAGCCCATTCTGCTGCCATGATCATAAGGACTTCTTTCATTCCACTATTTTTGTCCCTTAGGCTTCGCCACCGGATCCCGTCAGTCCCTAACTTCAAAGCCTGCTTTGAATATTCATGGAAGTCATACAGCCCACGATACAGTGATAACCCAGGAAACAGCTCCATGGCAATAAGGTACGATCCTTAAAACAAAGAAAGATTGTGAGAGATGGGAGAAAGATGACTGAAAAACAAGTAAAGACTGCCATAAAGGTTCAAAAAAAATTTTAAAAAAAATTTGTTTTAACAGCGCATGAGATGCTTACTAGAACCATAGATCATCATCCATAGAACATAATCACTTTTCTGAAAATTGTTCGAACAAAAAAAAAAAAAAAACACACATTTCTAAAACGAACTGATTTACCACTATAGAATTATGTAGCCATGTGTATTTAATGCAGCAGTGAAAATATCAGGTCAACTTACTCGGAAATGAGGCATCTTCAAACAATCTCGTAAAAAGAGCAACCGAGAAGATCCAACTTCCAAGAACCAAAATGAATCCAACCACTGCAGGAATCCGGCCTCAAAAGTATGTTCTCAATCAGATAAAACCGGAAAAAGGAGAAAACCACATATTTTTCTACTCTTACCAGAAACAGTCTTCACATTGTCAAACAACTTCTCAAGCAGAAATGCTGATGAAATCAGTAAGTTTAAGTGGAGGAAATAGAAAACAAGTTGGATGGAAACTGAATTCAATGTGAAGAAGGTTAACCCTGGAAAACAAATACATGCCGTGAGGGGATCCCTGCATAAATGTGGAGTAATGTGAAGCTTTAAGGTCAATGACTTACCGGCCAAAAGGCCAAACGCCACAAAACATAAGATATAGAGTGAACATATTATCAGAAAGTATAGGTATGAAATCACCCAATAAGGTGCATCACCAAGGCCATGCATTTTCATCATGATTGTCAATTTCTGCTGCTTCTCATAAACCAACGATGTCAATATAACCTATATCAAAGTAAACAGAAACAATTGAGGGTGAGGGTATTATGTATTTTAGGAAAAACAGAAGGGATAAAAGATGATTACGTGAGAATAACAAAAGAGCCTATTTTCATTGTACAGTGTTCTCAGTTAAACTACACAACAACTTACTTTCATCTCAAATAATGTACAACCACGTTATAATATATATATATATATATAAATATATATATATAAATATATATATATATATATATATATATATATGAATATGATCAACAGTTTCAAACAAGATATGCCCTAGAAAATTTTTGAACAATGTTTCCAGGAGAAGGTCAGCTTGTTGGGTGCAAAATAAAATGGGACCAAAAGGAATACTCAAAAGATGGGGGAAAAACCAAAATCAAGGAAAACACATAGAACATGTGTAAGCCATTGTTTCATTTCATCCCGAAAATTGTTTTATTAACTAAGCACCAAATGTAGAAATTTAACTTACGGGAAACAACTGTAGCAACACCAAAGGGAAACACAAAGCACCAAGTTTGGACGCATCATCAGAGCCACGTACTAGTGTCTGTGGGCTTGGCATCTCTCCGGTAAATTCTAGTGTCATTCTCACAGGACGCCGGAGTAAATATTCGAGGAAAGCATTCCAAACCTGCATCCGCAGGAAACTACAATGGTAAAAAAAAAAGTTCTTTTTGTGTCATGTCTCATAACCTGAAACATTTTTAGTTGTATGCTCTTCAGACTCTTGATTTACATCCAAATCAATATGTATCCTATTAAAGTAATTACTCCCTCCGTCCCATAATTCTCATAATTAATGTACAGTTTGGATTATCATTTCTTGTTCAAATTACACTAAAAGTGAAATCTCAATTAGGTAATAATTTTAAGATACCGGGAATATAACTTAGTAGATAATCTTTCTTGACGTACTACATTCTTGTGCATCCCTTTTTCACCCAACAAAACAAAGTCATCTTTTGGAAGAAGAAAACAAAATGGTTCAAACTGATAATGTCCGGAAAGTAATGTTTTTTAGTATTAATTCTGATTGGAGATGACTGATGAGAACATCAACCCCCGTGTGTCATGGAGAATGATCTTTTCTCTAATAATGCTCACTCCATTTCAATTCAATAAAATTCATATTTTTCTTTTCAAAACTCTGTCTAAATTTTGACATTTAATTAAATTTTTATCTAGAAAAGTATCTAAAATACCTCTACTATTTTCACCTAAATAAAGAATATTTTGTTAATGGGGAAACTACATTTTCTCCCCTCGAGTTTTAGCCCTTAAACAAAATACCCTCGAATTTTTGTCATACTTCTAATACCCCTGAACTTTGATCTTTCTAACTGTTTGAAACATTCTTACTAGGAAATGATGTCATCGTCAAACGTTAGCATAAAATGGCAAAAATACCAAATTATCATTAAGCTCAATTGTTCTCTTTTTTGAATCCTTATATTTTTTAAAACCAAAAAGTGAAACCCAAAAGCCAAATGTAATCCCCTACTCACGGCCGCCCTCATCACCATCCAAATAAAATGCCCTTCCCCCTCCATCCTCCCCTCCCCCACCACATGCGCCGCCCACATCCTTCTCTCCTTCACTGAAACCATATATGGCACCAGCCCACCACTTTCAAAATTGCTCGAGCTAACCGTCAATACGTCAATCAATGCTCTACATATCTGGATTGAAGAATGAAGCACAAGCATCACTTGCCAAAAAAAAAAATACTAGCACCAATTGAGTTTCAATTATACCCAAATCCCATTTGCCCCATTATTCTCATCTCTTTTAACAATGAATCAAGCAATGTCATGGCTAATTAAAACATCAGCAAAAGTGATCGATTTTTGGTAAAGGCATATGAGGTGTTGGCTTGATATTATCTTTGTTTTCAAAGGTATATTTATTTTATTTTATTTTTTGACTTTTTGGGTCAATTCTGATGTGCTGTGAATTAAAATTAGTTTAAATGACGCTGGACTCAGAGAGCCATTTGTTTAGTGGGAATCAGATTCAAGAATTGGATTCAGAATTGAATGAAATGTTTGTTTAATTGGATTCATGATTCCCGGGAACGGGTGAATCCGAAAGATCCATTTCGACCCCACCCCCTTCATTCAATTCTGAATCATTTTCTTCTTTTTTGTTTCCTTTTTAGGAGCCGTTTGTTTAGGGGGAATCGGATTCAGGATTCGGATTCGGATTTGAATGAGATGTTTGGTTAAAGGGATTCCTGATTCCCGGGAATGGCTGAATCCAATAGATTGAATCCCACCTTACCCCCTGTCATTCAACTTTGAATCCTTTTATCTCTTTTTTTTTTTTTTTTTTCAAAAAGGGCCTTCTCCTATCCTTTTTTTTTTTGTCCATTTTCTCTCTTCTTTGGTTTCTGCATCTCCTTCTTCATCCTTATTCAATGGATTCAAGCTCTCGAATCCTCTCTCTTTCTTTTTTCCCCTCTTTCCTTATTTTTCACTTTTTTTCAAATCCCATCTTCTTTGTTCTTATCGTTATCATTTATCGAAAAAGGCTCTATTCATCCATAAGAAATTAATTTGGTATTTGAAAGATCTGGATAAATTGAGTTTTTTCAAGAAGGAAAAAAGTTGATAGATTGGAAGATGGATTCGAGGGTTTATCTTCTTCCTCCTATCCCACAAGCCTCATGTTCTTGTTATGTCATAGAATAGTTGCTGAAGAGAGTCTCTATGTCCTTCCCTTTCAACACAGTAGCATTAGTACTCTTGTGTGGGTAGTGGATGAAGAGCTCTGCAATTTCTTGGATTGGATGACGACAAGATCAGCTCCGTAGGATTTCATACAAGAAATTGATTCTTCATTGTTTGTAATTTTCGGATAATTCATCATTACTTAAAACTTAAAAAGCCTGCATCTTTTGTTGTAGAGTTTGTTGGTTTCTTGTTTTGCTTGAATTTTGATGGGATTGAATGTGGATTTCGATTGTAGTTTGCAATGGGAGCTTTTCAAAAAGATAAGTGGTGGTGAAGGAGAGGTGCTAATGGACTGATAGGGTAGCAATGATTGGTGGGATTGGAGGAGAAAGACCCGTGAAGGAGGAAGAGAAAGTGGGAACAACAGAAAAATTGCATTTTTACAAAATTAATTTTTGATATTTGATTATTTTTAAAAAATATAATTAAACCATTCTAGCTCTCAAACCAAACAAGGTTATTGGATTCATGAATCCATGATTATTTGAATTCAATCCGCCATCATTCAAATCCGTTTCCTGAATCCGTTTCCAAATGAAAAAACAAACGCCTCCTTAATCTGTCTCTTCCCTCCTCCTTCCTCCCACCTCCTTCCTCCCACCTCCCTTCCCGTAAACCCGCCACCACCATAGTCATTTCACACTCCATCTCCGACTTGGGGAGTAATAATCATGAAACAGAACAAGTAAACACTTCTTCAGTTACGCGCACCCCAGTTACGCCGGCTGAAGTTCAGTCAGAGAAAGATTTTTTATTATTTGATGATAATAATCTTTTAAAGCACCATTCTTTATCATCAGATCTCCTCCGGCCAGTGTATACATCATCGTGTTGAATTTCTCGCTTCGTCAGTTCAAAATCTACGGGAACTCATAGATCTGGAGAATCCGATATGGATTTGGTTGAAAAGAACAGTACCGGCAACCGGAGGCATGAAGTTTTTTTTTTATTCCATTTCCAGCATCTCCCTCCACTTGAAATTCTGCCCAATTTTTGGTCATTTTGATTTTTATATTGATTAGAATCTGTGAGAATTTGAGTCCAATCCAAACCCATTTCCTAATCCGTTTCCTAATCCGTTTCCAGATGATGAAACAAACGCCTCCTAGGTTTTTCTTATCTCAAAACATGGAGAGAAAGTGTGATAGTTGTCTGCCGGAAGATAAAAAGTAAAAAGTGGTTTGGTTTAGTGGAAGACAGGGGTAGCCAAGTCTTTTAGTATTCAGTTTTTTTCTCAAACATTTTTATTTTCTTGGTCTTTCTAATCGGAGGTTTTTTTGTCATTTTACAATTTTCTAGTGTTGACTAAACGTTGCACCCCGTCAAAGGAGGAAAATGTAGTGTCACCAAAACTCGAGGGGTATTTTGTTAAAGGGTTAAAACTCGGGAGGTAAAATGTAGTTCGCCCTTTATTAAGTTCAACAAGTACTCTCACTCATTAACTAGAAATCCATTAGTCTTCCTTATAGGTATATTAGCAATTTTAAATTAAAATTAACCATGAACAATGTCATCCACATTTTCATAATTTTTTTGTATGTCCAAATGGACCTATTCAACTAGACTGGAGGTAATAAAAAAATATTTATACTCCCTCCGTCCCATAATTATTGTCCACTTTGACCAAAAAAATTTGTTCCAAAATTATTGTCCAATTTGACTTTTTATGGATCAAGTTACACATTTGTCCTTAGTAAAAAAATATTATCCATAAAATCTTTGTGGTTAAACAATTACTTATGTAGGGGTATATCCGGTTGTTCAAGATAAAATATATTTAAGTTTGACTAAAAATAAAATCTTTCATTTTAGTAAAAGTGGACAATAATTATGGGACGGAGGGAGTAGTATTTTTAATTTCAAAATATTGAGATTCTTTAAATAACTTATGAGTACTATATCATTTTTGTGAGGGTAAGAAAAAGGAGCATATATAGTATTCTCTTTCGTCCCAAAAAATAGTCCACTTTAAGTTTTGAAATTTATATTAAAAACAGTACAAATTTGAAAACTCAATATGGACTATTTTTTGGGGACAGAGGTTGTAAAACTTTTTTTAAAATCAATAATGCTGGGATCACCAAAATATACTTAATTTAGAAAATTATTAAATAATTGATAAATTAATAAATTATTAATTTTACCAGTTTCCTTAAGAAAAAAAAGAAAAGAAGAGAGAACTCTTAATTTTAATTAGCTCCACCATCCAAAGCAAGCAACTATTGAAAGTTTGCTTAATACTAAAATCCATAGCTAGTTCATATCATCTCCATGGACTAAGAACACATGTATCAATAGTTCATATTTTGCTAGATATTTATAGTTATTATTATTTTTTGATTTAGGGTAAGTATTAATTTATAATATTGTCGACAATACTAAAAAATTAACACTTATTCTATATCAGAAAAAAAATTAACTATAAATATTTACCCTTTGTGTCTATTGCATCTATTAATAATATTTTAGAAAAACTCCTATGTGTCCATTGATCTATTGTGTCTATTAAATACTTATCGAAATTGAGTTTTTGAGATTTGTACTAAATATAGATCAATTTTCTTGTCTTTTTAAAGTTATTTTTAACAGATATGTAATTTGCTTATCATTTGTATCGTTTCTTCGTGTTGGCCTATTTGATAATCAATAATTAATTAGTTGATTATGTGATGTTATTTTTGGATATCTTTTTTCTACTAATAGTACATTTCAAAATCTGTTTGATAGAAAGTATCTATAAGGCATGATAGAGATTCTTTTAAATCACATTTCCATGAAAAGACTCATGCTTGCTTAGACAAGGAAGAAAAGAAAACGAAAAACGTTAATTGTGGGCCGTACCATGTTCATAGCACTTGGCAGGGATCCTAGGTCAATCAAACTTGAACTTATCCATGGAAGTGGGCGTTTAGTAGTATTATACCACATGATCACATCAAAGTTTGCCAAGCTAGAGTCTTGAAAATCGTATGCTGTTGAAGCCATCATGAACCATTGACATGAGAACTCAATCTCAAATTTCAGAAATAGAAGAATGAGAAGGAAGGCCAAAATATGAAAAAAAAAAAAAACACACACACACACACACACACACACACACACACACAAAATTTACCAACCAGCGAGGATCTCGTTGATCTCTCCTTTAGGACTTCCATTGTAATAGCCTTCAAAGATTTCATTGTTAATCACTTTGTAGTCTGCACGCCAAAGATGTATACCTTCAAGACACTGAGCCTCTGGGAAATTCACGAAATGGTAAGTAGTCAAGGAACAACGCAGTCATCGTTTACACAAAAAAAAAAAAAAACAACAAATTACATAAACTCATAAATTACAACAAGATAAATTAGTTTGTTACATATATCATGTGTAGTAAATGCTGGTAAAAAGAAAATGCAGTTGCGAGTTTAAGAACCATTTGAGGACATCAGAACCTTTCGGTGGATAATATATGCGCATACCCATATACTTAGCAGTATCAGGCAAATCTTTTCGAAGACCCTATTGAGAATTAGTAAATCATTTCAAGTTTGATATAATTTCTAGTTTCAAAGAAAAGGGGGAAAAAATGATTCAGACCGCGTTAATTTGAAGTATGAGCAGAAACAGCCTCATAGCTGAAATTTGAAGGAAGTACCTGAAACTATTTCTTCACCTAGAACAGAAATAGGAATTGTGAAGTTGTTCACGCATTGAGATTGAAGATAATAATACAGATCTTCATAATCATATGTTTGTTCCTCCACCTGTACAGTTTTTAGATTATTAAACAAACCACACAATCATCTATTTATATATTTCCAGCCCAAAATTCGATACATATTTATCGCGGTACTAGCTCGAGTTCATATACACAAAAAAAGGAAGAACAATCAATGGTGAAGAATCGTACGAAAACACCAGCAGCCGTCGAGTTAGAGCTGTCAGTAAAATTAGAGAACAGATTTCCAGCAACACCTGGCCAAACAGTTAGAGAGAAATCAACTCCCAAAACCTTCACTTTACTGTAATATAATAGTATGACTATGATATGGTAAAATGTATGGGAAGCTTATCTAATACTCGGTTTATCTCAAAAAAATCGCTCTATCTCATAAAAATAGTCAGCAATAAGATGTAACGGGACTATTTTTCAGGGACTGAAGAAGCAGTAAATACAGTATACCTTCCACAAAAGTTCTGTTGTTTCCAGTTACAAGTACCGTTACTGGACAAGAGCCATTATTTTCCCTACAAGATTTGTTTGGTAAATCCTGAAACGGCATTAGTTCTGTCTTTACAGCTCGATACGTAGAATTTGCGATTAGAAACACGGGAGTCAACTCTGTAGAATTTGTTTCCGACTGAGTATCCATTCTCTTTTGTCGCGCCTTGAATCGAATAACTCCCAGCAAAATCATCAAAACAACTGGGAAGAGGATCAGCCGTAGATGGGAACGCAAATGCCTTTTCTGGGAATTAAACAGAACATAAGAAAAGGTGAAAACCAAGAATCACCACCATGTTTTTATTACAGAAGCCTTTACTTCAAAACCAATTGTCAATTAGGGGAATAAAATAACCCATTCTTATATGTAGATATCTACGTCTCTGCCAACACCGATGTGAGATTTTTAATATTTATGAACAGGGAAAACACACGCAACATAAAAATATTGCATCAGCAAACCCAACGAATTTTTTCTTGTACTGAGCTTGGCCTATTTTTTCAGTCCATGCAGCGTCTCACGTCTCAAACCTTCTCACGTCTCAACCCTACTACTTTTATTACATCAGACTTTTTTAGAGTGCGATATTGGTGGGTTGGTTTTGATACCATACCAAAGTCCATAAGTTTCTCTTCAAACCAATTGGTACCAATGTGAGATTTTTAATATTTAATGAACAGGGGAAACACACACATCACAAAAATATTCCAAGAATCATAAAATTTTTTTTAAAATATTCAGAACGAATTGAAAAGTCTATGAAACTTTAAAAAAAAAAAAAACAGAGTCACAATAAGTGGGAAAACCATGAAAAAGTAGAGTACACTTACATAGAATACGAGATTCTTTGTAAATAAAGCAATTGATTGATTCCTAAACCCTCCCATTCTCGTATATTATTCTTGGTTGCAGCAAGAAGAAAGGCTTCTGTATGTGGGGAAACTAATCAGGCCCAGAAAATCAATTTTTAATGTGCTTCACAGTTCAAAATTCGATCTCAGAAATGCTTTTCTGAAAAGAAGAAAAAAATTGGAACAAACCTTTTCTTTTCTCCAAATTTGGAAAAACGGTTCGAGTACCCGAGCCTACCAAGTGTTAAAATTTCCCTCATTTCAGTGTCGGAAAATGTGTTTCCCCACTGGCCAACTCCCTCCTTCTTTGTCCCTTTTCATTATTTTTTGGGGTGAAATGCATTTCCCACCTAAGAAAACCGTTTCATTTACTAAAATTGACATGAAATCTAGAAAACATTAAGGTTTGATCCGGAAAAAAGATAAGATGGTTCATTATCAAAACCACACATCCGCGCAAAATCCTCAACTAACCATTAACCAAAGTAGTAGTATTTCTTCTTTTAGTTAACAATAATGTCATTAGAAGCCTTTGATGGCCAAAATAAAGCAGGCGTGTTTAAGGAATATAAAGGTTTTAGCTGTTTGGAGAAAAGTTGAAGTTAGGGAGAAGCGAATCCATGGAGGCAGAGCTGCTGAGTGGGTTTCCTCTGTTTTCGCAACAACTTCATGCTTTGTTGATGAAGAACTTGGTTCTCGCATGGAGGAATAAAAAGGCAACATTTTTAAGACTTTTTTCCCCGATTTTCTTATTTTCTTTCTCGTTACTGCTCGGAGGAATTGGTAGCCAAAGAGAGAATGTTTCTGCTGCAGTCCGTGATCCAAATGCCATTTTTTTCTCTTCAATTCCAGCCTGCGAGGATAAGCTATTGATCAATTTTCCATGTTATGACTTTGTATGGAGTGGAAGTGGAAACCAGAGATTCGTGTCCATTGTCAACGCTATTATGATCAATAACCCCAATCGCACAATTCACCAGAACAAGGCATGGTTTTTCCTTACTGTTATCAGTTTTCAATATGGGACTGTATGGGCTACATCATTTTCATACCCATTAATTAGAATGTAGAAAGTAATGATTTAGGTTACAATCTAAGACATGATTACGTGCTCTTCTTCTTCTTCTTTTTTTTTTAATGATGTGCACCAAAAACAAAAAAAAAAAGAAAAAGATCTGCTTTAAATGATCCTTTTGTTGTTTGGAGATTTGATAAGGTTTGTAAGTTTACAGAGAAATAGCTAAAAATATAAAAGGTTTAGGTGGTGTTTGGATAACGTTTTATTTTAGTTTTTGATTTGGATTGAGAGGAGATTTAAAATGTAGTTTAGTTTTTTATTTGGATAATATTATAGTATAGTGATCATTTGTGAAATTAAAATAGTTTAGTGGCAAAACTTAAAACTTTACAATAGTTTAGCGACCATCAGTATTAATTTTCCCCCCAACCGGATCACTTCCACCACCGGCCGCTCACCGCTGCCGCCGGACCGTCGGCCGGCCGGCGACCCGCCAACTTCCGGCTAACTCGTTGGAATTTGGCCAGAATCCAGCCGGTGGCTACTGTAGCGGCCGGTGGTGAGGTGGTGGTTGACAAAAATTATATAAAAAAGTAATGTTTAAAATATTTTTTAAAAGTAAATTAAATTAATTTTTGGGTACTGTATTAGGTTTTGTGTTTAAGAGGTGAATTGAACTTCTTTTCAGTTGAAATGGTTGGCCAAACATAGCCTTAAGAATCTAATTTACGTTTTCATAACTTGAGACTTCAAGTTCTGGTATGTTGAACTGCGCAGGTTAAATCTTTTAGGACAAAAAAAGAACTGAATGATTGGCTTTTGCAAAACCCAATGCGGACACTAGGAGCTTTACATTTTACTGAAGAAAATAATGAGATACGATATGGCGTACAAATAAATTCCTCATCTTCTGACTTTAAGATTGGAAGACAATTTGAGGACCCCGTTTTGCAGTTTCAGGCTCCCCTTCAATTTGCCGCTTCACGTGAAATTTCTAGGTCCTTAATTGGAGGTAAATGTGTTCCCTGAGTAACATTGATGATTATAAGGTTTAGAATCTGTAGATTTGGTCGGTTTGATTATGAACATTGCCTGAGTACTATTACTTTTGATTTGATTTTAAGACCAGAATTTCAGGTTTAACATAGGTCTCAAGGAATTCCCACACCCACCTTCAGAAATCCTTTCCACAGCAGCAGGGGATATGATTGATGAAATTTTGTTAATTGGAATTGCAATTATGTTCTACTTTTCCTTTGCTATGTTTGGATTCATGTCTCAAGTTCATTCTTTGGTTCGGGAGAAAGAGCTGAAACTTCGACAGGTAATGAACAGGGTAGTCTAACCTTCTTTGATCGGTTTAAAACTTTCTGTTTTCACCTGAAATTCTCCATTGCCTTCTCAGACAATGACTATTATGGGACTTTATGACTCAGCCTACTGGAGTTCATGGTTCATATGGGAGGGACTTATGTCGTTCCTTACATCAGCAGTCATTGTTGCTTTTGGGGCACTGTTCCGTGTTGACCTTTTCGTGCAAAACAGCATTGTCGTTGTGTTTATCCTATTTTTCCTTCTCCTGATCAGCATGGTAAGGGGTAGTTTGTTTTTGTTTTGAGATATGGTGAACTGGAGAAGGAAAAAAAAGTAAAGATATCAATTTGAAATCGTGTCTGATATTCTGTCCTGAAACTTTTTAGGTTGGTTTTGCTTTCATGATTTCAACTCTCATTACCAAAGAATCTTCGTGTACACCGGTTGGTTTTGCCATAACGATTATAAGCATTGCAACAGGGGCAAGTATCTTTTTCAATTGTTCAAATGTTTCTGATTCAGGAATATCTCTAACTTGCTAGTATCCCTTTTTCTGGTTTGTAGTTCTTTTCTGGAGTTGTCTATTCTAGTCAGACGACAAGGGTAAACTATGCATTATGGTCATTGTTTCCACCAAATGCTTTTGCTGGTGCATTATTTTCTCTGGCTAGTAATCCAAGTGATGCTGGCGTTGGTTTGAAAGATATAACAAAGTGTCCAGACAAACATTGCTTATCCATAGTATGGAAACTTATATTTCTTCCTTTAATTTTGTTTTTCCATCCTGAACAGTCGCAGATTTCACCTTATTCCTCATTATTAATTTGAAGCACTTCATATCTGCTGATTTGTCTCTTGTTTTATGGCTGGCAGAACTTCTTCTGGACTTGGCTGGGAAGAGCATTCTTTCTGTATTCAATTTTGGCTATTTATCTCGACAACATAATCCCCAACTCTGCTGGGGAGAGGAAACATCTTCTATACTTTTTGAGGCCAAGTTACTGGACAGGGAGAGGTGATAAACTGATAATACACTTTGAACTAAAATAAGCTTAATTAAGTCCAGCAACTATATGTTGTGCCTAACCTTTTCAACCTAATTACTTAGAGGAAATCATACCAGTTGGTGGCGACTCTACTGCACAGTCACCTCATTTCAGTCTAGATGATGAGGATGTCCGGGAAGAGGAAGAATCTGTGAAACAAGATGCATCACAAGGCAAAATTGACCCTGAAGTTGCAGTCCAATTGCGGGGCTTTGCTAAATCATACACCAAAACAACAAGCATACGCTGTCATCGGTTCTGCTTCTGTATCTTTTGTTGTACATGCAAGAAAAGAAAGCCCTTTGATGCTGTCAAGGTAAAAACCTTGATTTTTTGCAATGACAAACATGTCCAAAACCTCTTATTGTTCCTTGCCACAATTTAGAGATATGTAATATTTCTGAAACGGTTAGATGATTCTTTCCAGACATTTTGGATGAACTTTCCAAAGGATCAATTATTTTGTCTCCTCGGACCAAATGGAGCCGGAAAGTCTACCATTATTAGTTGTTTAACTGGAATCATTCCAATGACTCACGGAGATGGTAATGTTGTCCCTTTGAATTTGTACTTGATTGTTCCAGCTCATTAGGTGTATTAGAATTCATCGTTTAACTAATAGATTTGTTGTAATTTCTCTTTTGACAGCACTCATCTACGGAAACTCTATTAGAAGCTCCGCTGGAATGACAAAAATCCGAAGAATGATAGGAGTCAGTGCACAGGTGGTGTCTATCCCTCAAAACGTTTATCGAACCTGAAAATGTTAAACCCTGGAAGCTAACAAACTTGGAAAAAACCTGCAGTTTGACACTCTTTGGGATTCATTATCGGGCAAAGACCATCTTCAACTCTTTGCAAATGTAAAAGGCTTACCCCCGGTATCTCACAGACAGGTTAGAAAACTAAGCTGGTGTTTACAATTTAAGACAGTTAGTTTTATGAACGAACCTTGGCCTTCTAAAGTTTGAGCTTAAATGTGCAGGAAATACAACGGTTGTTGGCTGGCGTAGATATAGAAAAGGTAGCTAATGTGAGAGCAAAAAGCTACAGTGGTGGAACAAGACGGCGACTGAGCCTGGCTATTGCTCTCATTGGAGATCCTAAACTTGTCATCCTAGATGAACCAGTACGTAACATTCAAATTTAATTCATTCAAGTTTAACCCATAACAAACTGCTTTTTTTACAAATTTGCAGACAACTGGAATGGATCCAATTTCTCGAAGACGGGTATGGGATGTCATTGAAAATGCAAAGCATGGACGCTCGATTATCCTTACTACACATTCCATGGTCGAAGCTGACATCTTATCAGATCGCATCGGAATCATGGCAAAAGGTAGGCTTCGCTGTATCGGCACATCCACTATGCTCAAGTCGAAGTTCGGTGCAGGTTACGCTGCCAAGGTGTCATTTGCCAAAGATTTTTCTAATGCTTCTGCCAGAGAAAATGATGTTAACGCAGAGCGCCGTGAAGCTGTGAAGTCCTTTTTTAAAAATGTATCCATCCGTGAGAATCTCATTTGCCAACATTTCTCCTTAATAGATCTAACCTACTTGTTTAAACGACTTTTACATGTTGCAGCGACTCAATGTTGAACCAAAAGGGGAGAACAAATACGTCTTGAGCTTCACCCTTCCAAATGCCGGGGAAGACATTTTAGCAGTAAGTATCTTCATTTGAGTTATAATATTTACAAGAACATTGTTGGAACTTACTTTTCCCGTATAGTTTACCCTCTTTCCCAATTTTTTGTCACTTTTTTTTTTTTAACAGGACTTCTTTTCAGAGCTAGAAAGTAGAGAAAGCCAATTCGGCATTAAAAGCATCCAATTAGGTTTAGGAACACTTGAAGAAGTTTTCTTAAATATAGTAAAGAAAGCTGAGCAAGAGGAAAAAGGTGCTGCGAAAAAACATGAAAGCCTGACCTTGCCATCAGGAGCTACAGTTCTGGTAAAGCGTATTAATTAATGTGAATCACTATATTCTCTGAGTCAGAACATAAAAATAAATACGTAAGAAGTTGCGATATTGGAAGTTACAACAACTGTTACGCTTTCATTTTGCAGGTACCTGTTGGAGCCAAGTCCGTTAAGATCCCAGGAACCGAATCGATGGAGAATCCCGGCGGCCTAATGGTTGAAGTGTTCTGGGACCAGGACGACATGGGAAATCTCTGCATTTCTAGCTATTCAGCTAAAAAGCCTGTGGCGCCAAATAGTCTATAAATAACTCTGATTGTGGCTTACAGTCTAATACCGATGATGATACAGTAGGTAGGATTTCGAACAAAACTCTGTTTTAAGTTAATTATTTTTGTCGGAGCTATAATTTGTCAACGATAGGGAGTCTGCCATGCAGGACATAATCTCTTGATTAAATGAAAATATATATGTTGACGTGAGTGTGATTATTATCGTAAAAGTCTGACTCACATGGTGATGTAAAGACTGCTTGTTGGCCTTGTCATCCCTTTTACCCTATTAAAGCAGAAAACAGGATGTTGATGTGGTAATTTTTTATTAAAATATTTTGGCTCCAAATACACCATATTGCATAAATCATTCTGCCACATGTCACATCCTTTTAAAAATAAAAAATATATTTACAATATTAACGAAGAGATCAGATGACCATATTCATTCAAATTTTGAATCTGACAGTGTATAGAATTTTTCTTCTCCATTTATTTAGGACTTTTGAAAAAATTAATTTTCGGTCAATCAATTATTTTCATTAAAAACTAAATTCATTCCTAATCAATTTTGATTATTTACATATCAATTTATTAGGTGGGACGCCTCCGGACATTTGTCCGGGGCAAGCATCTAGTAGGTATTATAGTACTAATTAAATTGCTATACTTCGTTAGCTTAGAACTAGGTTGGTTTCGCGATCAGTTTTTATATATACCGTATCATATATTATAAATTTTTGTATTCTTAATTTATTTCTGATACAAGTAGTTATCGTGAAAACGTAGTACTACCAAATTTTAAAATCTAGAAAAAAAAACTCAAGATTGAGAGAGAGAAAGAAAGAAAAATAGATTGTGGATTATTTTGCGTGTATTACAAAATACAAACTTTAGGCAAGATCATATTTATAGGAGAATGATTAATAAGTTTATTTATTCATACGTGACACTTAGTAGTGGTAATAACAATTTTTTTTTTTGAAAAAGAGTAGTGGTAACATTATTAATTATTATATTCCCAAATAAAATAGAATTAGAAAATCTATGCCAGGATTCTTTAAGCTTATATTTGTTTCGTTTTTTTAGTGTGTGTTTTTAAGTATTTTTTGTATTAAGAATGTAAAAAGGTGTATTGAAGATGTAAAAAGATATGTTGGGATGGGACAGTTATTAGTTAAATATTTTGAAAATACCATAAAAAAACCTAACAAACAAGGTTAGTTAGCTTCCACTGATTCTATGAGTTGAAATGAGAAGTTTCGTAACACATTGTCTTCGCTCAAATTGCTATTTACTCGTGTTCCTGCGGAAAAAGGGAAAAAAAAAAAACTATACTTCAATTGCGTTTTGGTTCTTCTCTTTTTTAACAGCTATTGAATTTTGTGATCTATTAATTCTTTTTTTTGTTTGCAGTCGTGTATTGTGCGACCAATTTGTATACATATTATATTGTGCGTTGTGCCACCAGTATGGTTGACCCCTGATGATGAAAAAACAAGCATCTATATGATAGAAATGATAGAAGCAAGAACTTGAATGAAATCCTAAGAGAAAAGGATGAAGGAGAATTCTCGCTGACTAATGAAATCTTTGCAGAAATTTGTTTGACTCTAAAGCAAATTTCAAATAGCGTGACCTTTGCAGCAAATAGTGACACCTCAATTTGGAAGAGAATATCTTGGATTCACTACCGTCATTTAGCATATATTCTGGACAGGTATATCTTTAAATTTGAAGAAACTGATTCAGCTTACCAAAATACCTGGAAGATTATTTATGGAACGATAAAATGGCACAAACTGTTCAACCAATCAATGCTAACAGCTAGTTTTGACCTTCAAAAAGTACATTAAAAGTTCTTCAGCTATGGTAAAATGCAGAATATGATCCTTCTTGAAAGATGGACTTAAGGCATTTGCTTTGCAAAATAGATTTCAACTCAAATTTTTGGTGTCATTTTTAATCTATCGAAAAGATACTAATTTGTGAAGTTCACAAATATAGATTGCCTCTTTGTTCAGTACAACATCCTAGCAGATGTCAGTTGACTGTAATTGCAATGAAAGCTAGCTAGGTTTAAACAATCTTGCAAATAATGCAATATTATCTAAGACAATCAACCAACTGAATCTTCTATAAGAAAGAAATGATGCCTATGATATTAACCAAAAACCCAACATAAACCTCAGATCTTCAAGTGAAAGGTACCGATGCTTTAATGATGAGAAAGTTTACAAAAACGTTTCTAAAAGAGCTATTTTTCTCTGTCTTCACTTACAACAGAAATAATCCAGCATGTATGAGTTTTCCTTCCTTGCGGTTCCAATTGCTTTTTCCATTGAATTCCAGCCCTTTTTGATTAATTTCCAATTCAAATTGAAGGTTCTTGCATTCATGCCCATTTCTTCATGTTTGCTGAGATTTCATTTTTTCAGAACTGGGTAACATGTTTCATTGCACTGTTTCGTCCATTTCTAGCCGGAATTTGGATTTGAATTCTGAAAAGAAATTGTAGCCCTCTCTTCCAGCTTTACAACCATATGAAGAATTTCTAAATTCGAGCTCTGAAAGTCAAGTTATGCTCTCTGGAAGTTGATAGATAGTTGCTGAAGTCTGCAGATTTTATTTATCAAATCTGACAACAGATTTTCAACTGCAACTTTGGCCACTGAAAATCCTGAATTTGGAGAAATGTTCTTCATGAAAGAGTTGGCTCTCTCTTTGAGCTTCGCAACGATATAAAGAACGTCCAAATCCGAGTTTTGGAAATCAAGGTATGGCGTTTGAAACCTGCCTGAGAGTTGCTGATGTTCTGCAAACTTCATCATTTAGTTCTGACAGCTGAGATTTCAACTGTATTCCAAAGGATACTGCATGCCGTCAGCAAACTAATCAACATGAGACTCAAAATTACTAAAGAAGCAGCCAAAATTAGTCAAATCAAAGTGGTGCGTGACTGTTTTGATTCACTAAGAGTTTGCCAATCAGCAAGTCTCCAATGAATCAATTGCTCCCACCTACTACTTGAAGTTTCGTCTTTTCATATGCATTCGTTAACCCTTCCCAACATCCACGAGCTACAGTAACCCCATGTTCCTACTCAGATTCATCTGCTTCCTTCATTTTTGATCTTTCTCCTACTTCAAATACCCTATCTCCACCCCAATTACTCATAATTGAATTCAATTTAGACTGCTTAGATCTCAAGCTACTCGTACCTATTTCAGCTCGCTTGACAGGATCCCGCTTCCTTTTGGAGTCCTTTGCTTCGCATCAGGCAGCACTCTATCTTCCACGTTGTTCCCCACGCCTCTCTTCTTTGATCTTCTCCCCATGCTAGATCACTAGAGTGTGGTGTTGATCGTTTGCGGTTACACACACTGAAGGCGTTTTTGCCCGCAGAGAAGAGAGAGAACTTGAATTGTGAGTTTGGAATACAGAAGAGGCCTCTTGTTCCCTCAATCTTATTTTCAAAGGTTTTCATTTAATTGGTAAATGAGGATAGATTATTTTTCCATTTCGGATTATCGTTCAATATGTTTTTCCCATCTAATATACTCCCTCCGTCCCATAATTATTGTCCAGTTTAACCAAGATGAAAAAATTTATTTTTGGTCAAACTTAACAATATTTTGGTTGAAATTTCCGGATATACCCCTGGTAGATATACCCAAATCCAAGTCTGCATCTTTTCATCCTCCAAACAAAAGCCGCCGTAATCTTAAATAATACTAATATAATACACATCTAAGCCGCCGGCGTACCAGTAACAACATTTGACGGCCTGCTGAAGAACTACCAGTCTATGCCGTAACCTAAGAAGAAGGCATAGCACTGCTAAGGGTCCAGAGTCGGCGCCTGAAGGTGAACTACCGGACTCCGCCGTGGGTGAAGACGGAGTTCCAACTGCCGCCGTGGCTCGAGATGACCCAGCAGTCTCGTTCTGAGAGCGCCTTGTTGTAGATGCATTCTCCATTTTTTCCGAGCTCTCAATATGTGGTCAGGAAGTTGAATAAAGGGACAATGGAATGAAATACTCAAATCTAAAAATGAATCCCAAAAAACTCTAAAGATTTCTTTTTCGTATTCGTTTCCGACAACCACCCGGCCACCTCATCCTCACCGTCGCTTTGAGCCGTCAGGGTATGGGCTAGTTTTGCTGCTATTGAATTGTGTTCAATTCTAGTGTGTGGATAAAACAGTTTCAGTCATTAGACTAAAGGGTAAATTAAAGGGTAAATATGTAACTTAGTTCATAAAAAGTCAAATTGGACAATAATTTTGGGACAAAATTTTTTGACCAAAGTGGACAATAATTATGGGACGGAGGGAGTACTTCAAATCATTTTCGAAGAATATCATTTCTTTTATATTAAGACTTGTATCATGGACTTGTTTGATAAAAGTTAGTTGTTAATTCTGTATTAGAAATGGTAAATTCATTAAGCAGTTGTGGAATACGCAATAAGCTAACTTTTATTGATTGGATTTTATGCTACAGTTCCAGCACCGCTTAATTCATTAGGAGTTTTTAGTTTTTGTTATCAAACGTACTGAAATTAAAAAGGGCTTAATTGAATAATTTTAAACAATAAGATGCTATATGTATTACTCTATTCCTATTTATAAGAGGTTTTAGACATGATTTTTTTCATTCATTTTTACAAGAAGTTCTAGTTCTCTAAAAGAAGTATTTAATGACTTTTTTGTTTTATTTACCCTTACAAATAACAAATTCAATATTAAATTAACCACTTCATTAATGTTATCAAGGATGATATGGGGAATTGAAGGGTACTTCGGCCAAAAAAATTTTCAAAAAAAATATGTGGACAAAAATAATTTTTTTTCTATTTTAGGTGGACAAAACTGGTTGTCACGGATCTGTCAAATCCGAATCTACACATTTTGTACTGCTTTCAGAATTGACAAATCCAAATCTACCTAATAGATAATTCCTTCTTATAGATAACAATGGAAGTAATACCTTGTAATGGAATCGGACTATGGAACAGCCTTCTTATTAGGTCACTGGATTAGTGTAAATGGGTTCAACGGCTCTAAAAACTAGGTTCATGTCACAGTGATGTCTTAAATTTATTTAAACATACAATATTCTTTACAAACAAAGTTTGACATTTCTGTTTGTAGAAAACTCCTTTAAAAAAATCTATGGTTACAATTTTGTTAACAATAAAACTTGAGGGCTCAAATTTACTAACGGTATAAATAATAAGATTCTAACATAAATTTTTTCATGCATGCATATATAATTATTCTTTTAAGATGAATATTGTGTGCTTAATGCAAAAATTTTATTTACTTCTTACTATTTTTTTTTGAAAAAAATCCACATC